GTGGCCAACTTTTGTTTGGCTTCTGCCTGTTGCCTGTTTATAGCTGGCTTTTCATCAACGTCATCATCGATCTGGACTTTGTTTATGAACAGTGCACATCACAAGTGTACTATATACACTCAATATATCTCTATTGTCCATATCGGTCGTCCAAGATGAGTAACCTCCCAGTCGCCTTGTCATTCCATTCCCTATGTTGCCAGGCCGAATTTCAATTCAAGTCATTGGCTTTCTTCGTTCGTGTTGCCAATTTACCTTTTTGGCACTGTTAACCTTCAATTGCACACATCACTCAATGTGCACGACTTCAATTTCCAAATGGCCAAATTGGGCAGACGCCTATTACTACAAAAAAAAGAAGAAAACTAAAAAAAGCCGCTCATTAGAGGCAGAGGCAAGTCAACTGGCAACGACGACACAAAAACTCGCCTGACTATGTGCCATAAAAATTTAATAATAATGATAAATAAACTTTGTAAGGCGCCCACACAATTTGGCAGGCGGTTGCACACACAGCAACGAGCTCTGGCCTTGGCCAAAGTGGTTTTCTATGAGGTGATATGTGGAATATATGTATACGAGCCAAGGATCAGCTCGTTTGACAACGTTTATTGTGGGCACTTCGAACATTATGCAACTACAGAGAGAAGGTTACAAACATTAGGAAATGATATCTGGTTTTCATTTTAAGCCAAGTAAACCAAGCTACTTTGGGGGATTTAATCAAAAATAAGGGTAGCAAGTAGTTTTATTTCTCAAATAATATAAACCAAGCATCCGCTTGAGACAACAAAAGAACCATTACACAAGTAAATGTCAGGTAACATTTATAAGAAAATGATATACCCAGCACTTAACCATCATTATTTCACTTGGCTATGAGACCGAACGCTCCCTAGAAACTCCACAACTCGAATGGCTCAAGTTTAGGCGCATCTAACAATATGGCTCCCCTCCTGTTCCCATTAAAAACTTGTCCCCGGCCTTAGACACAATTCTTGGCCCCTGACATTTCCGCTGTTTGTAATACCTTTTGGGAAACCACAACAACGAACCTACACAATATAAACGACACTTGAAACGAGCCAGCGAAGCGCACAAATTGTGGCTCAAAATTAATAAAGGCAGTCGAGTCAGCCCCCCGAAAGTGAAATAAAAACAGAATTCATTTTAATTACAAATTACAAGAGATGGAACTGAGCCCCAGAAGAAGCGCCACAATAAAAACCGACAACCAAGAGACGACACTCTGCGTGAGGTTCAAAGCCTTGGGAGGTGGTGGAGGCATCATCCATCCGGATGACAACTGACCGACAACGACCGGGAGGTTCCACAGATGCCTCTGACCCCGGCCGAAGTCAACAACATCAACATCAAAGTAAATGCGAGGAGGTCAAGCGTTAAGTCATAAAAAGGGCCCCTAAAACAAAAAAAATATATAGATATATGTATGTGATGGGAGGAAAGGGGAGAAAATGGGGAAATGCGAGTATGTATAACATCACAGCTTGCTGCTGTTGATGCTGATGCTGCTGCTGCTGCCTCATCGTGGAAAGCCGCCAGAGATAAATGTTAATCATCGGAGGCAGAGTCATCAACGTCATCGTTGTCATTGCAATTGCGGTTTCCCCCTTTTCCCTACTCTTACACCGAAAGAATTGATACCATTTGGGTTTAAATTGAACTATCGATTGGAAATAATATGGAAACTATACGGAAATAATAATCTATCAACTATTTATCTTATATCTCGTTTTCTTAGGTGAATATTTGATATTATAACAAGATTAAGCTGAAGATTAAGAACAAGAAAACTTCAATTAATCATTCTACGTACATCCACTTAATTTCTTTCTGTGCATAGCAAGAACAAGAAGGCTTTCGACCTGAATAAAAAGTATTTTAGAATGCGCTAATTACATAAAATCGTTGGTTCCTTGAAAGTGGCAAACAAAGTTGTCGGTACAATATGCCTTCGGGCCTGGCCTTTGGGCTAATTAACATTGTTCCTCGCCATATATTTTCAAATGAAAAATATTCCACTTTAATTGTGGCTCAGCGGCTCTCCGGCTCGAATATATGTATTAGAAAAATGATTTCAAGACACGACGAGCTGCCGGTGCCGCTGCCGCCAACTAATTGTCAACATAGCGTTGGCTTTGCCAGCAGAGAACCAGCTAGAAAAGTTCCAACTTGCGAGCGATCTTTGGCTTGTTCAATTGCAACCAGTTTTGGACTGGCCTAAAGGGGGAGTTCGGTGGAAACCTGGCCACAAAAGTGGAGAACAAGAACAAGACAACAACACGGCGCACAACCGGCTTTTAATTAATTACCTTTTTTGGCCAAAACTATTTATTGTTGTGTTACAGAACCAAGCTGAATCCATGTTAACTAGATCTCGCTCTGTTCGGTTCGGTTCCTCAAGTTCAACGAAATCTCAATTGCGTGTGGTCTTGGCCTGTGAGTAATTCCCCCTCTGTCTGAAAGTGTCATTGATATACATATACATATATACCCCCATATTCCGAGGGTATATCGGGAGTGAGTCATCTCTCTGGAGTATGATCGATCTACCGTCTTGTGTGTCGTAGAAAACGAAATTTAGGCTATGCGCTAAACATTTTAATTAAGTGGAAAAAGGTGGTTCCGGGAGGTTCATTCGTGTAGAAATCGCAACAACCAACAAAATGGAAAGCTCCCAAGAAGCAGCAGCAACAACAAAAGCGAAACTCTGTGAGTGTAATTGAAACTGAACACGATGACGATGTGGAAGTATTATTATTAAGCATGCAAAGCATATATAATGAAGTAGAAATATGAAACCAGACCCCAGAGGCAGAGAAGAATGCAGCGGGCCAGGAGGTTGTAAAAAGGTGACACAGCTAATGTGCTATAATGATGCGATAATCAAAGATGATTATAGGAAACGTATAGCTTTCATTCTCCAATCATCACTAGACGGACATGGGGTTTCTTATGGATTTTCAAAGCTATATTCTGTCATCTTCGGAAGAGGAGAAACCAAAAGGGAAACTGTGAAGCATAGAGAATCCTAAGAGAGAATGGAAATGAAGCCAATTATTGACTGGAAGTAAAGGGCTTTAATTATGAAATAATCATAGGAAGTTCATTAAAGTTATATAAAGCTAAAGGGGGAAATAATGCAATAGGGATTTTTATGTATAATTAAACAGAAAAACCTTATTGTATCCTAAATCGTGTATTTATTTTTCTTTAAAAGGGGTTCCCCCAAAAATGCCTTCTCTAGAACATACCAAGCTGTATAAAGATACACAAAGCGGATGGCTAAAATCGAGTTACATGTCATAATTTGTAGTAATTGACCGATAATCAAAGTGAATAACTTTCATTCTTCAATCATTTTCAGAAACGTGTTTTAATTCATTTTTAACCAACTTATTCGATTCCCCTTCCCCAAATGGGGTGAAGATCGCTGCACAAAGGAAGTGCAAAGGAGGAACAGCAATGGAGGGGAGAAGTGGAGGCCCCGACAAAGACACATGCGCATGCGAAAACAATTGAAGCGTGCAAAAAGGGAGGAGAAAAAAAAACAGGGAAGAAAAGGCACGGGCAAAAGCAAGAGTTTTATGGCCCAAGAAAAAGAACCGAAAACCGCACAGAGACAGAGAGCGAAAAAAAAAAGCGAAGAAGGGAAACTCTGGCGATGGGAAACGGAAATCAAAAGCGGCGAAACAATGTTGTTGCAGCTTTGCATATAATTTATGGGCGAGCGTAGCAAAAGCGGCTTATGAGTTGCGAGATTGAAATTGTTGTTTAGGTGGAAAATGAGATTCAAAGCGAGGCAGCAGCAGCACTGAACGTGTGTGCGTGTGCAGGTGTGAAATCGAGATCACGGCGGATGGAAGTACAACCAACCCTTTTTTTCTGTTCTTTGCGTGTTTTTTTGTTGTTATTTTTTCTGTAGCTTGTGGTTATTCATAATTCTCCGCTTCTGTTGCTGTTTTTCACGTTCACAAGTTAACGAAAAACAAGGCGACAAAAAAGACAAAACAGGAAATGTAAACCACGAAAAACAAAAAAAAAAACAAAAACAACCGCAAGTTTTGTACTCGTTCGCGCTCTTTCTCTTTTAACCTCTCGCCCGTGGGGAGCTTGTTAAGTAGGCGAGAGTGTCATTCATGAGTTTGACCTTTTACCAATATATAAGCCATTAATCGATGCTGCTCTTTTCGCTTGTTGCTGCCCTGATAATCATTCATAAACAGACACTTTTGCCAATGTGTTCGTATAGAGAAAAGTACACCGAATTCGAAAATTCCATTCATGAAAAAACCCACACATTGTTGCTGGATCTCTCGCGGCGGGTGCCAGTATGTGTGTATGAGCATGCGCTGGAGCGTCGCACACACACACAAACACATGGCTGAATCTCGATTCATTCACAAAAAGAGGGGCACATGCAAACGGTGGGGAATGGCGGGGGCGAGGTGGATGCCGTAACATTCAGCTTGCTTTTTAGTCGGGTGGCAAGTTGCCATCGCTGCCTTTCCAGAAGCAGCAGCAGCAGCAACAATAACAACAAATGCAATTGCACTGCTGCTGCACGAAAAAACATTAGGCGACAAAAAAAAGTAAGAGAAACACATGCACACACACACACAGGCAACCACACGCGAGTGGGAGCGGGACAGCACGTTGATACACTCGCACTCAAAATGCATTTTTTAGTACTAAAAACATTGTTTTTTGAACCACTTTTGGCATTTCTGGTTCTCAGACCACACGAACAAAGCCATGTCACTGTTTAGCACACTGTTCTCAGGCGTTTTGCTGTATTTTAATTATGTTTTCTCTACAAGGGAGACCCCGCGGGGCGACGGCGACGCTGTCAACATTCCAGCACACACTGCACCACGAAAAACGACTGTTGCGCCCGTACTTTCACAACCCGCTCATGTCCGACATGTTCTTCTACATTTTGGTAGTGTTTTTATTCGATTTCGCACTAATTTACATACCAATTTTCACTTTTAATTGCTCTTCAATGCGCACTTCGCGTGTATCGGCCATTTTGTTGTTGTTGCTGCTTGGCTCGACGGCAGCGACGAGCGAGTCAGTATTGCCGTCCCGCTCGTCGTTCATATAGCGCTTCTTCTTCAGCAGCATTGTGTGCTCGCTTTCATAGCAGGCAGCTTATTTCTGGGACTCTCGGTGATACGTGCAACTCGCGATTGGAAAATATGTTTTGGTTGGTCAGTTTTTACGGAATTCACGGAATTAAATTCACTTGTTGGTTGTTTATTCTCGCTTTTGTTGTAATAATTTATTAAGTAATCCGAACAGGAGGTTTGCATGGGGCGAGAAAATGACTCGGCTTGCCGCTCACGGAATGCACTTTTCTTGTTGCTTATGTTTCGGCAGAAGGAAATTTCGCACACAAAAAGTGGTTCTCGTCACACACTGAAACACGTATGATTTACGAAAATTAGTATTTTATGTTGTATTATTTTTTAACGATCGTTAAATTAATTTTCAAGTCGGCGAAAATCGACGCGTCCGCGGAACAACCTTTCAAAGCAAAATTTCAAATTAGAGTGGCCGTTTTGGGTTAAAGAACAAATGAAGGGGTGCGAAATCATCGAGCTATCGATATTATTTTCGAAGCAACTCGATACATCGATATATAATTTCTTAATCTTATTAAAAGAACTTCGGAAATATCAACGTATCGGAAATACGTATTTTTAAAAGCAACTTTTAGCAATTAACATACACAGAAAATATTGCAGGTTGGTTCAAAAGAAAAATCACTAATTTGGCAGCAGATCGACCACGAAAGGATAGGTTTGAAACTTTGATACAGAGGTCGAAAACTTTGCTTGTATAAGGTAGTATAAGACAACAATTTTTTAATTTGTAAAAATTGATATTTATCATAATATTCCTATTTCAGTACCATGTTTTGATATTAAAATAATTTCACTATATTTCATTATTTTTTATACTTCGCTTTAACAGAAATCTCATAATTATTAAAAAGTTTTATGTTTTGTTTTAAATAAATTTGTAATAATTTAACTTGATTAAAATTTTATAGCTTGTTATTTATCTTCAATGTTTTATTTTGGTTTTTATTAATTTTAATAGTTTCACTTCACAAGCTTTAAATTTAAACTCGTTAAAACACACACCGTAAGATCTTGCAAGTGCCGCCGCCGAAATGAAAATGAATTAAATTTTCCCAGCGGCAAGTGTACGCGCCTCCAAAAATTGTGAATGAAAACACACACAGCTGCAGGCGATCACCTACACGCAGACAGACACATGTTGCACCGGCGCCAGCAGCAGCAGCAGCGGAAGCAGCAAACCGAAAAGCGGCGACAGAGAAAGTTCCAAGCATATGCGGCACATAGAGTGCGCTACGAAATATATTAACGTATACAGCCCTGAGCGTACCAATATACCTTACTAATTTAAGTGTAGGGCATATTACGTGGGCGTTTTGGCTCACAGACAGAGGAAGCGCCCAAATTACACATACATACATACATATATTACAAATTCCGAAAAAATCAAGTAAAATGTGAAATTCAAAACGAAGTTGACAGCGGCAGAGGCAGGGACAGCGACAGCGACTTTGTTGTTTGTTTATCGCATATGCGCTTCCTTTTTTTTCATCTTCTTCTGGAAACCACATGCATCACAACAACAACAACAACAATTGAGACGGTGCATCTTATCACAACAACAACAACTGCCGCCAATAAGTGGAAGTGGTTGTTGTTGTTGGGTCAACATTTGTACTGTGCGTTTCTGTAGGTCCTGCCTCCTCGCTTTCATTGCTTCCGTATGCTGTACATCTGATCTGGCCAACATTTTCCACACTCCAAATGCACTGAAAAAAATCGAAGAGAGTAGTTCTCAAGAGATTGATAAATTGTAATTTTAAACTTAATATATTCAACACAAGTAGTTGTGCCATCTTTTGTGCTATTTCCTTTAAATAAAATATTTATAATATATGATATTATCTTTAAAATTACTTGCATAGCCCAAAAACAAGAGTATACATACAAATGAAGTATAATTTAATAGGTATTTGAAAAGGGGATATAAAGTATCAAAAATAATCTTCTATTTTATTATTTTATATAAACTATGATTTAAATTTTTATTTTTGATATTTTATATCATATATATATTTCATAGAATATTTAAATCTTGTTTGATCTTGATCTTGTTTGGTTCGTTTCCCTTTCAATAATTCTATATATCTTTATTTTGTTTTAAATTGAATAAATAAATATTGTAAATAAATTTTCAATCATTAATTAAATTTAAATATTTAATAAATCCATGACTTTTTTTTGTCTGTACTTAGTAACGACAATTTGAATATGTTGATTATTTCGCTTAACGAAATGTAACCAACAGACGTGGGAAGAATAGGAGGCACTTATATTTCTTCTATTTTTCCAACTCCATTTGTCCATCTGTCCACTTTTCCCCGCTCTCCTCCATCTCCGCCTCCCACGAATTTCAGTGCAAGGTGCATTTGTGATAAAAATAGTATTTTGTGACGGTCGCATTCGTTTGAATGAGTTTACGGGGTTTCGGTTTCGATTTTGGGTTTTTTTGTTGCTATTTAATTCCTCATACCACTTGCAGTATTGTTTATTTACGGCCGGGGAAGTGTTTTGGCCATTTGTCTAGCTTCCGTTATTATTTCCACCTGTGAATGAAAATTTATACCCATTTCCCCACCCGGCTCTTGATCTATCTAATTTATAACATTTATTTTGTATTGACTTGTTTTTAACAACCATAATATGGGTTCATAAACTTGGTGCACTATGCTCGTTCGTGGGCTTCTTTCTGTAAAGGGTCCAATATTTTGGTTTATCTACCGCTCTTTAATGGGGAGTTTACACATAAATACACATAAAATAGCTCCTAACGTGGGTTTCCATAATCTGTTTCCTAATACGTTTTCCCGCTAAGAGGAAAACGCTGTTTACCACATTTGTGGCTGGGCTTTAGGTTTCGATTTTTGATTGAATTTATTGATTTTTAAAGTTATACTAATGAAGGCAATTAGTGAAAACATAGTGGCTATATTTGGGAACAAAATTATTTATGGGATTCCCTTGATATTAACATAACTGAGATATCAAATCATATAATTTTTGTTTAAATCAAGAATAGTATATTGTATTTTAAACAAAACGAATAATTAAAAGTAGAAATATTAAATAGTAAAGACGCGTTCGAAGTATTAAATAAGCGAATTTTTGCAATATTGATAATTAATAAAAAACCCTAAGAAGTGCCTTAAAAATAAAACATTTTCCCAGCTGAATCCAGATTCCACTTTCTTAGAAAATCCTCTCAGTTGTTATATAGTTATAGATTTCGGCTTGATCTGCGAATTAAGTCAAATGGCCGTTTGGGTTTTCGTTTATTGTTCAGAGGATGTTTACACGCATATGTTTTTGTTTTGTAGTATACAATAGACACTTAACAATTTCATTTATTGTAGTCATTTAATTAAATGTAAAGTAGCATTTTGTTTTTTGTTTTTCTCTTGTTAGGTGTTCACTTGAGTTGCGATTGCATCTAAATTACATATTTTGAATTTGTTTTTGGCGCGCTAAACGTAAAGCTTAAAATGTAATCATGTTTTGTGGTTTGTTTTTAGCGTAAACAATGAAACTTATATGAAATACTTAATAAAAAAGATCGCATGAAACAATGTGTAGGTGTGTTTTGTGTTTTATGTTTTATGGGTGTGTGCTTGTGTGTGTGTGTGAGAGCGTTGGTCGGGATTTGTGGCAGCTAGATGGGATCGGGATGTTATCCAGGATCACCTCCGAGCCGCTTCCAACGATGCCAACTCCAGCTCAACGGCAGCCAAATTAGGAAACGATAAACAAACTGCAAGGAGAGAAGGATCTGCATTAGATTTGATGGTTCGGAATATTACAGAAAACTTTTTCCTGAAAGTCAATTTTAAATTATATTTTATAGATTGAAAAGGTTTTTTTATAATCCCAAATGAAATACAAAAACTTAAGTTAAATATATATGAAAAATATCATAACTTTATATAAAGAAACATAACTAAATTAGGATGCATAGTTAAGCGGTGCAAATTACATTTAAATTTCAACAAAATCCAAGACTTAACGAAACCTTGCGTTTTTTAACGAAATAAACTGGTGAGTCACAGAAATCTGAGTCTGTTTACCCAAAGTCTTATGACGCACCGCACGCGGCCAAAGTTTCTTCTATCGGCTTCAATATTTTTCCGAACGATTAGGTACTCTATCGCATATGCAAATACAAAACACAAATAAACCGATGTCATGGCTATCAGGGGGTCTGTTTCCGGAAAATATTCCGTTTACGATTGGCATCATCTTTCATTACGAGAAGTGAAGGTAAAATGTTTAAATAGTGTTGTTATCTGTCAATGATATCATTCCTCGTAATCTCTTTTGTTATATTTTTATTATCAAAAGACACTAGATTGAAAATATTGAAGGAATCGAGTTTACCCCTTGAACTACTTGAAAATGGAACCTTTAACCTTTGGAAAATGAAAAAATGAAATCATTGAACTTACTTTTTTCTCAACTCATCGAACGAAATTTGAGCCCGCCTCCGGATAATGGACCTCTTGGCGTCCAGCGTCCTTTCCGTTCCGAACCATTCCGCCCCGCCTACTTGTTATTGATGGACAACCGCTCGACGCTGGCTAGCAGCTCATCGGCGGTCTGGGATACGACCTGCTCCTGATCATCGCTGGTGCTTAGGTTCTGCAGACGCTTCTCCAGCGCCGAGAGATCCTCCAGCTCGCGCTGCTGCTTCACCATGTAGCGCAAGATCAGCGTGGTGAGCATGCACATGTCCTCCAGGATCTTGGCCGTCTCCGGCGTGGGATGATCATAGCGATTGCGCAGCAATCTCAGCTTGGCTTCGGCCAGCTCCAACGGTGATTTATTGCTGCGATCGTACATGTGGACACTGGCGCCGCCCTGGAGCAGCACGCCGACCACGATGTTGAAGTTGTTGGAGCTGGCCGAGATGACGGCCAAATGCAGCGGTGTGTTGCCCAGCGAGTCGACCACATTGGGATTGGCGCCGTACTTGAGCAGCTGCTGGACGATGGGTATGTAGCCGCGACAGGCGGCCAAATGCAGGGGACTGCGATTGTACTCGTCGGCGGCATTGGGATTGGCGCCCGCCTCCAAGATGCGGTTGAGCAGCTCAATGTTGCAGGTGGAGGCGGCGGTGCGCAGCTTGCGGCCGTTCGACTGGGTGAGGATGTTGCTGTAGCTGCAGTATTGCTTTAGACGCTGCATTCGCGGACGCATCTTGAAGCTCTTGCTGCCCGAGGGCAAAGTGCTCGGATGGATCAGGCTGGGCAGATACTCGGCATTGGGGGCGTTGGGGTTCAGCGGCAGCGGCGGCAGGTGCGGCAGCGCAAAGTGCTCGCCCCGGTCTCTGGTCAGCTGGAATGCATTCGTGTTCGGATTGCCGGCGCTCGCACTGGGGTTCACGTTCACATTCATGTTCAGATTGAGGTTTAGGTTCAGGTTGAAGTTCATGTGCGGCCACTCGCCGTGCGTGTTGGGTGACGAGGTGGGCGTGGGCGGCATCACCGGCGGCGGCGGCGTGATCATGATGCCCTTGGACGCGGGCATGGGCATTGGCATGGAGCGTGTGAGGGCCATGGACACGGGCGACATCTCCACCTCCTCCTTGGCCGCCTCCACGCCGGAGGTGGAGGAATCGTTGTTGGTGGCCGCAGCCATTTGTTCCGTATCAACTCGTCTCGCGTCTCTCGTCTCGCTTTTGTGCGTAGCTCTTGCTTATTCTATTCTCCGTTCACAGTTTTCGCTTTTTCGATCCTGTATGGCGATGAAAAAATCTCTGCCAGGCACGCGCTGCTTATTTTCCTGTCTGTATTGTTTGTATTTTTCTCTATTTTTTTCCTGTTTACATTTTGCCCCCTATCGATAGACCATATGTGCTAACTATCGATTGACCTCGGGCGATAGCAGAATGGCTTTGCAGCCCTGGTTGCATGAATAAAAAATAAATACAAAGAAAAATTAATTAGTTTGAACTTTAATAACTATCGACTTTTAAAAGGGTGTTCACGTCAGAAGGCCCTTCGCGGCGGCCGCGGCGCCGCCTCTGTCCACCGAGCCTCCAAAGCCTTGGCCGCTCTTGCACTCCCGCAAGTCGGCTCTTCGAGCACTGCTCATCGGGCTAGTCTAAGCGCTCCCGCGCCCACTCTTCGATGCTCGCGAACGCCCGCTCCCGAATTCCCGAGCTTCGCTCGCTGCTAAGCGAGCTGAGGGACGGCTTGTTCGCGCTCCACTTCTCGGGCCCGCTCTCGCACTGTTAAGCGTAGCTTATCGGTCGGGAGCGCGGCCCTTACATTTAAGCTAGAGTTAGTCTTATGTATGCAGCGCAATAAAGCTGACCATTTGATTTGCCCACGACGCCCCCGTCTTTTACTTTTCACCTTCGCTTGCGACGTGGGAATTTCCATTGGGCTCCATTTGACAAGACAGGATCTTCAGCGGCAGGATCGCCCCCTACAAACATTGGTCCTTCGAGCCGGATACGGATATCCTTCCGTCCTTTCACTAGCAGTTCCCGGTGATTTTCCGCTGAGATAAGTATATGCTTGATTCCGTCTTGTTCTCGCTGCCGGTCTTAGACAGTGGGCCGAACATTTAATTTCGGTCGCACCGCTGCAAAATTTATTGTTTTTCGTTCGTGTCAACTCCCCGTCCGAGTTTTCCTGACACCACGGTAGTGAGAAATTCCACTTTTCTATTCGCCTCCGAACTTCGAAATTTTCCATCCGTGTCCGTTTTGTGTGCGCCGCCATCCTCCTCGCCGTCTCTTCGATTCCCCGTTGTTCATCCACTTGCCAACGGTCGAGGCCTATGTGCAGCCACATACACACACACGCATTCTAAACTTGTGCGAATATCTCCGTACAAAAAAAAGTTATCTGTGAACAGTGAAAGTGTGTTTCAAAAAGAAAGGCATAATTAATATTGGCCAGCCGGTGTGCGCTTGTTGCGGGAATTCACCCGGATCGCCGAACAGTCTGCCGCTGTCACGATATTTTTTGTATGCTGTATCCATACACATTTTTCTGTTCTCATAATTCAATACAGTCCACTTCTAGACGCTCCACTGTGCCAATACAAACCCTACATATTTACATACCAACATATATTGGGCGAACATACATATGTATATATTGGGCAAGCTTTGCGCTATTCTGCGCTGAGCATCGATCTCCAATTACATACTTACATACATACATATATACACACGCCCGCATAAGGGCATATCAAGTGATTATTTGTCATTTCTTTTTTTCGTCTCCTCTTTGTGCCTAGAGCGTGTACAAGCACCTGCACTTAGACAGTCCACAGCCGCACAGTGCCTACGAGGCAAAATCCGCCATCTACAACTTTTAACAACTTTCGTGATCCAAGGATTTAACATTATCCGAAGTTTATAAATCATATTTTTTATTTATATCAATTTTTAAATACATACATGTATATTGGGCAAGCGTCGCGCTATTCTGCGCTGAGCGATCCAAGCTATTACATACATACATATATACACAAGCCCGCATAAGGGCAAGTAATTATTTGTAATTTTTTTCGTCTCCTCTTCGTGCCTAGAGCGTTTACAAGCACCTGCACTTATACATTCCACAGCCGAACAGTGCCTGCGAGACAAAAATCCGCCGCCTACAACTTTGGAGAAATTTCGTAAACCAAGGATTTTAAATTATCCGAATTTTTATTTATCCCATTTTTTCTTTATATCAAGGAAATACCAATTTACACACATACATCCATACCTTGGGCAAGCGTCGCGCTATTCTGCGCTGAGCAGCCAAATTCAAACTCAAACGAGAGTGTTTTATTTGGGTTTAATTGTCTTCAATTTAACCGGCGCAACGGCTGTGTTGTTGTTGCCCTGAAGTTCTTTGGGTCTCCCACTCACCACTGCTTTGCCGACGGCTTATCCCATTGAGTTGTCTCTCAAACAAAAGCCAAGGGTTTATTTCGACAATTTCGGATCCGTGATAAATAAAGTTGGCAACAAATACTTCCGACCAATACGTTCCTAAATCCGTATTTAATTTATTACGGGATCCATCCACAATTCGTGCCCAATTTTCTGATCAAAATATAAGCAAACCTCCACGTCCGAAATATATTATATATTCTAAAATACACAAGACTTTTAATTTCGGATTAAAATTATTCCAATAATTTAATTACGGCCGATTCCGTCAATTCGTTTGGGAAGATCCCAGCCTGCATCTCCGCGACCCTCTCCGCTTAAAGCAAAGTCCACTGCTGTCCGCTCAAGAGCAAACAGTTTTAAATACTAGCCCAGCTCCATCACTCACGGACGACCACAAAAATGGCTCAAACCGCCATCGGCATTGCGTTTCGGAAGTTTATTGCCTCGACAGATCGTGTGAGTCAATTTGAGGCACAGATCCAACCTCTAGGCGACCCAGAAATCACCCAGCCCTCTCCGTCCACGTGTAAGGTGAGTCGCGACCAAATCCGGGCTTTGTGGGAAAAGGTGGAGAAGAGTTACGAGAGCTGCTCCGAACTGCTCTCCGTGTCCGACGACGGCGCGGACACTTCAACGGTGTTAGAAGCTAAGTATAGCTACTGCTACTCCGTCTACTCCAGGTGCGTGGCCCAGCTGCAGGAGATAATAGAACGGGGCGCGGCCCAGTCTACTCTGGCTTCCAGCAGCGCCCACACACTCCCTTCCACCGGTTGTCATTTACCACCGGTAGACACCGAGGTGTTTGCGGGCGACTATCTTCGCTGGCCCACATTCAGAGACCTTTTTACGGCGGTTTATATTCACAACTCGCGTCTCACCCCGGTGGAGAAATTGTTCCACCTCCTATCCAAGACAACTGGCGAAGCGCACGCCATTGTTTCCAAAGCCCCGCTCACCAATGAGGGGTTCGTCGCAGCTTGGCAAAGCCTCACCGACCGCTTCGAGAACCGGCGGTTGTTGGTCAACAGTCAGTTGAAAATCCTCTTCAACATCCAGGCTGTCCCTCAAGAATCGGGAGTCGCGCTAAAAGACCTGCAAGGCACCATCCAAAGCTGCCTGACCGCCCTAGAGATGTCCTCCATTCAAGTTGAGGCTTGGGATAGTCTTTTGGTGTATATGGTTTCTTCAAAGCTTCCCGAAGTAACTCTTTCTCTGTGGGAACAATCCATCCACAACAAAGACAGAATTCCGACTTGGAACGAGCTAGACGCGTTTCTGACCGAACGCCATCGTACGCTGGAGGCCATCGACGACGTTACGACTACCAACTCAAGGCATTTTCCGCCAAAATTGTCGACTCCGAGGGCCCCAGCGCCCCGGCTTCATTCTTCCGACTTCAGAGTGACTCCAACACCCAGACCCAGAAGGTGTGACCTATGTTCCATGGAAAACCACCCCCTGCGAAGATGTCCCCGTTTCCTTAAAATGACCGTAGTCGAGAGGTCAAATATCATCCGAAGAAAGCAACTCTGCTTGAATTGTTTGGCACGAGGCCATCAGCAGCGGGATTGCCCCAGTGTCAACTCCTGCCTTACATGCCATAAACGGCATCACACCCTGCTGCATCCCAGAAACTTTTCCTCCAGTGTTCAGATTGCTCCTGAACCTTCCAGCCCAGTAACCGCACCGATCCAAAGGATATCCGCGTTCTCCACGCGAATCACTTCTTCCAACGCCTTAAAAAACTGGGTACCCTACGACATCAAGAGCAGACGTTCCCGAGGTATTTTATCCTACCCATGCCGAGTCTGCAGCGGAGTCCATCCGCTTCGAAAATGCCACAAGTTCCTTAGGCTTAGTGCTGAGAAGAGGCTCAGCGCGGTGTCCACCAACCGCTACTGTTCGAACTGTTTGGCCCACGAACATTCCCAGGGCAAGTGCCGCAGTGGTGACCGATGCAAGACGTGCAATCAGCATCACCACACGCTCCTGCATATGCCTGGAAGTCCAGTTCCCGCACCCCGATCGCAGCATCGGATGACTCCGTGCTCCCAATTCGCGTTATTTCCTGACCAATCTTCTAAATGATATACTTTTTCCAGTCCGCTTCGAGAAGATGCCACCGCTTCGCACCACGCGAACGCTCTGATCAGAGGTCCAATACAACCGATTCCGAGGTTGCCACCGGACTTCATCCGCTACCGACGTCGACGTCACCTCTACCATCCTGCGCCTCCCCCGACACTCCTCAGCCACTCCACGGCCTTCGTCCACCGCTCCTCAGCTGCACTCCGGTGCGCATTTCCGCCGCTGGCCAGGACACCCTGCAGAACGCGGCAGCGCTTACACAGGACGAATATGTTGCAACCCGAGTGATTGCAAGGGGGGGAGAATGTTCACGTCAGAAGGCCCTTCGCGGCGGCCGCGGCGCCGCCTCTGTCCACCGAGCCTCCAAAGCCTTGGCCGCTCTTGCACTCCCGCAAGTCGGCTCTTCGAGCACTGCTCATCGGGCTAGTCTAAGCGCTCCCGCGCCCACTCTTCGATGCTCGCGAACGCCCGCTCCCGAATTCCCGAGCTTCGCTCGCTGCTAAGCGAGCTGAGGGACGGCTTGTTCGCGCTCCACTTCTCGGGCCCGCTCTCGCACTGTTAAGCGTAGCTTATCGGTCGGGAGCGCGGCCCTTACATTTAAGCTAGAGTTAGTCTTATGTATGCAGCGCAATAAAGCTGACCATTTGATTTGCCCACGACGCCCCCGTCTTTTACTTTTCACCTTCGCTTGCGACGTGGGAATTTCCATTGGGCTCCATTTGACAAGACAGGATCTTCAGCGGCAGGATCGCCCCCCTACAAACAAAGGGTTTATATTTATTTTCATCTATTTAGCAATTGTTGTTTGTCGTTTTAAAATGATTTTTATATAAGTCAAAATGAGTTTTTTGCTCTTGCACTACCTTTTCCTATAACACATATAAGAAATTAGGTAAAAGCTATGAACAGTAATAAAATAATTATACATTTAAAATATTAAGATTTTAATTTTAATATATTTAAACAACCATTTTTGTAAAAGCCAAGGTCTTTTATTTGTTAATATAACTTATTTATATTACCTTTTTTTAATCTGTTAATATACTTTAAAACATATATACCTATAAAACATTCCAGTTCTTTAACAACTGAATTGTTAATTAGAAATGTCAAAATTTTTTTGGTTTTTAAATTTGTGTTTAGTATTGTTTACATGTTGACAATAAGTGGTTGTTTCATTTTATTATTAATATAATTATTATTTTCCTAAATATCATCCGAATCTCATTTTATTTTCAAAAACCAGTGAAACTTGATTAAATTCTCAAAAATAGTTTAATAATTATATCAATTAGCCAATTAACCTTCGATCTCCATTCGAACACACATTTTTGTGGGCTTAAAACAATCAAAAACTGGTTTCTACACACATAAAAAGTTTTATTCAAAAAATTCGTGCTACATATATATGCATTTCCTAGCAAAGCGGCACGGAATGTTTCGTTCTCAACTCACAATTCAACGAGAGGTCTACACACATTCAATACATGGGATGGCGTTAATAATAATACAAACATCGAAAATAATTTAAGTAAGATTCCTTCTTAAAACCAATAACACAACAATGCAAAGCGTAATTCGTTCTGGTAATCCTGGAGATAAAGCCTCGGGAGGGGGAAAATTCGAATTCAGAATGGTGGGAGGCGGTGTTTTGTGTTATCGAAAGAAGTTCCTGGGAATAGTGATCTTTTGTGGATGGGTTAACTGGATTTAGACCGCAGAAAAGGTGCTCTTAACGAAAAATAATGAATAATAGTGAAATCTAGCTAAAAAATTCACACAGACAATAGACGAAAGGCGATCCCTCTCTCCGGAAAGGGATCCACAGCAAAAATATGGTCTAAATCCGTCTTGCATGCTATTTCAGAAAGTTGATCATCTCGATAATCTTGTTGCGATTTGCGTGCATGTAGGCCTTGGTGTGCCACAGCATATTAATTAGCTTCTGGTCGTTCTTCTCGTCCATGGCGATGTCCTCGCTCAGCTGGGGATTGAACCGAAAGTAGGGTACGCCAATTGTGCTGCACCAGGCGCGAGCGCGGTCTACCACTCGGCCATCGGAGCAGGTGGCTTGATCCACCAGCAGGTTTCCTATACGATGATCCATATTACAGAATATATTGCATAAATAATTAAATTAACTCACCAATGGTAGATATGCCGTAGGCCAGCTTGGCAGTATCCCATATGCTCTCCGGCCGGAAGACATCGATATCCTTCAGCTCTGTCACTGGTATGTGGCCTGTGCCCAGCGACATCACCACAGACACGGGTATGGCCTCTGCCTCGCGTCCAGCGCTGCGTAGCGCCATATTATACTCGTGTATCTCGGTCATGGCGTCCAGCGTGGGGTTATTGGCTATTAACCCACCGTCCAGGAAGCGTCCAAAGGCGCGGAAATACGAGGGAGCTGCTCCGGTGGCACGGGCCGCACGCCACACCAGTTGCTCCTGCGGTGAGGGAGGAGGAACGCGTCGGTTATCTGGAAAATAAGTGAATATATTAGAACGTTCTTAGACTGAAGAGTAAGTTAATTAAAAGCTTCAATCTTGTTTTGGCTTTATGACCTAAGCTGACTTAAATTGAAGCAGTGAATTAGTTCATAGTCACGCCATCATGACTCATTTGTGGTTTATAGACTAATAAACTTGGCACTCCAGGTAATTACCCTTTTAAATGACCCCAAGTACTCAATCTCTACTCACTTATGGAAGTCACAATTCCCAAAATGTCGCTGGCGCTCGTGTAGTTTCTGAATAGATGGAGATCAACGGGCTTTCTGTCCGCCATCACACCTGTGACCATTATCTTTGGATGCTTGATGTCCGTCATAACATTGAACTCGCCCAGATTGTCCTTCAGAATGGACTCGAAGAATTCGCTGTTGTAGGGCCTCGAGCCCACGAAGCACTGCTCCTTCATGCGCAGATACAAGCCCATGCACTGGCGCATCGTTTTGCCGCAGCCCAACGCCAAGGCGAGAATTCCGCCAGTACTTGTACCGGCAATCCAATCAAACATGTGGATAATGGGCGTGCGCGATAGCTTCTCGATTTCGAGAAGCATTTGAACCAAGACCAGTCCGCGAATGCCACCGCCGTCAAGACAAAGCAAGCGTCCACGTCCATAGGGCTTATCGCCGATTTCCATGCCAATTGGTGAGGTGGGTGAGGCCAAGTGCTCTGGACTTGCTTGTGCTGAAGGCGGCGTGGCTGCGGCACTACCGCTGGCCAGACTGCCAGACGAGGTATCCTTCTTCAGCTCGTCGGCATTCACCTTGGTCGTGAACATGCCCAACAGGGCGTCCATGATGCTCTGTCCCTTCAATTCCTTCTCCGTGTCGACCACAACGGGCATTCTGAAAGATGCATTTAAAGATGATGTCTTATAAATAATATTTCAAAAACTCACTGTGGCGGCGGTGGCTTTTCCAGCACTCCGTTGGCCGCTGCGCCCAGGAAACCGCCCAGCACCTGGCGACTTGTGGTGGCCAGCATTGTCTCGATGTGCTCACGCTGCTCCACGGATTCTGGGGCCTCGGGCGGAATGCCATTGTAGTTGCCCTTGGCATTGCATCCTGGTGGACATTTGGAGCCCGTATCAGTGCACCGTTTGGCCCCCACCGAGTGCAGGATGTAGAGGATCTCATCTTCCTTGTTGCCGCTGGCATCGTTGCCCACCATATGGCGCGGGCTCTTGCCATCCTTGTTCTTCAGATTGATGTCACATCCGAACACCACCAGGCACTGGACAATCGGTACCAGCTTCTTCTCAATGGCGATGTGCAGCGCCGAATTTCCCTCCTTATCTAGAACATCAATTTCCGCATCGTGGGCCAGCAGTGTGACGACGCATTCGAATCGATTCCTCGCCACCATCACGTGCAGGGCTGTGCGTCCATCAAAGTTGGTCGAGTTGACGTCACATCCCTCCATTATGAGTGCGTGAAGCGTCTCGCGGGAGGAGCACCAGTGCAGCGGTGTGCCGCCATACTTCATGTCCTGAGTGTAGAGCTTGCTGACATTGGTGCGCAGAAACGAAGCCACCGAGGTGGGGGCCGATGTCTTGTACAGCTTGGTGATATTCTTGGCATTGAGGTTGACATCAGCGCCGGCCAAAAGCAGCGCCTTCACGCACTCAGGCTTATCGGTGACACATGCCACATGCAGTGGCGTATAGCCATCCGAGTTGAGGTGGTTCAGGTTCACGGTGCTTTTATCAATGATTAGCTTCAGGGAGAAAATAAAGTTTGATTTTGTGCTGAAAGTGATTAGATTTCCCTGCTTACATTAATAATCTCCTTGGTGGTGCTGGCGGCGTAGTGGTACACGGAATTGCTGTTGATGTCAAGGTGCTCCAGCTTGCTCAGTGGCAGCAGAATCTTCACCATCTCTATATGTCCCTGCTTGATGGCCAGCTGAAAGGGCGACATCAGGGTGGTGGGATCGGCACTTTCCACGCACTGCAGGACCTTCGGATTGCTGATGTAGTCCACCAGGTTGAAGTAGGCTATCAAGTGGGCCAGCGACCAGGAGGGGTTCTCTGCCAGCGTATCGCAGGTCTTTTGTAAGCCATTCACGTTGTAGTACTACGGATAAAAGTGTTATGAGAAGGTAAATCTTGGGTAAATCAAGCACAGGTACCTCTTTGACAATGCTGACGAACACGGGTAGCCTCTGGAGGAAGGCGTTGAAGCGTTCCTCGGCCTCCGACTGCACTGGTGAGCGGTACAGGCTAAAGGATGTGGTATTTGAGTCCGAGGTGGGTCGCTGCAGTATAATCTCGTACACCGCCCGCTTGTTATCGCTGCTGTTGAAGGGCGGTGCAAACAGGACCATGGCATCATCTCGGGCGAGGACTTGCAACGTTCCCAGCGACTCACTCTTGATCTCCAACACCTTGTTGGCCGGCTGATCGCCGCCCAGCAAACGCTGAAGAACTGCAAATTGAGAAAAACATTGAGTCATTGGGTAAAAAGAGATCAAGCGGGAGATTAGACGACGAGACTTTCGGGAGACTAGACTACTAAACAACACAAAACACGAAGATGGAAGTGGATCTACATTGCTAGTACCGAAGCCGGAGGCCAAAGTTCCAAAGGCCAGCCAAGCCATGATTGCTGCCAACGGATGCTGCTTGAACTTTGCACCCTTTTTGTACGGATGAGATGCTTGCTGAGATTACTGGCTTTGTGGATGCGGTGAACCTGATGACAGGGAAATAAGAGGCAATTAGGTTGACACGGGGTGGATGTGGGTGGCGTGAGCTGGCGGTTGCCAAGAAATCAATAGTACACATCACACGTCGGATGAGCGGTACATAGCATCGCTTCGCTCATTGGCCAATCGGGAGCGGACAGCTAACCCCAGCGCCAGATCTGATTCTGATTATGCGCCATTGTCCACGAAGCATTTACCCCCCATTTTCCGTGCTTTCCCGTTTTCCCGCTGTAATCAAAGAACGATGACTGTCTTTTGAGAGTGACGACGAGACGAGTGTTTTCTATGGCGTTCAGGTTACTCAATTTTCGTTGTTGAAATGTACAGAATGTGAGGCGCAATTCGGCGAAGTAAAACAACAAAAAAAGAAAATACTGCCAACTGACAACTTGTGGATTGCTTGGTAAACACTTCTTTCAGCTGACCATTGAACATTTTACTGCTCTGCTTCTTGGTTTTCTTATCGCACAATTGCCCGTCTAATTAGCTTCTAAATTCACTGTTGAAATAAAAAACTTTAGCTTTTATTGGCGCCAGTGTGACCCGACTGTGTTCTAGCCCGAAATACTGCAAGATGACACATGGCCTTAAAAAACGCCAGATTTGACGGGAAACAAGCTAATCTGGCCACAGTGGTCAGATCTAGTTCTCAAAATTGTTAAAATTAATACCGGAATTCCATTTGTTTGCCGTTGAAAACGTCAATAAGTCAAAATTAAACCCAGTGGTTAGTTACACGGGTACGCTAAATTCCACGTAACGTAGGAGATTAACCACCGCTTGGCTGCTGCTTTCGATGCGCCCGCTGGACGCTTGCAGGGATTGAGGCGACAATTGCAATTGCTGCAACTGCAGTTAACGGGAGGAGGATAAGTGCAAGTAAGTAGTGGGGTCAGGGAGATGGCCAGCAAGACGAGGGGGATGGTGGTTGGTTGCGGGGGCGGCCACGGCAACGGCTGCGCTGGCTACTGACACCGCCCTGTGGGTGGCACTGCAGGAGGTGAGGGCGACTCCCCCCTCCCAAGGGCACGGTCCCGAAACGATGGTGGCGTAAGTCTCGGCGCAGCTACCTGTGCCCTTCTAATCTGGCAAGCGACGCGTAAACAGTGTCTCTGCCTGTTCGGTTACGGTTACTGCCGCCGTGATTCACCCAAGAGTGTCCAGCAGCAAAGACAATAATAACAAACACACAAGCTGCTCCCAACCACCTGACGTAATTATGCGCGTGCTCTGACCGCAACTACATCAAAATCCGTTCTGCGGCTTCACAGGTACACAGGCCACCGCTGATCATCGCTAGGATGCAGAACCAGCCCAGTCCACAGTTGCCCTGCAAGGGCATTTTGAAGACATCTCGAAGCTTCGACAAGTCCGGAGCGAGGTAAGAGGACTCTACACTACCATAAACCCACGACAAACAGTCTCAAATTAATCGCATTTTCCTCTTCGATTAAAAGTTTTCGCAAAAGTGCCAAGTTCGATGAGCTAAACGTGCTTCAGACGTTCCATCCGGCCGACAAGGACTATGGACATATGAAAATCGATGAGCCCAAAACGCCATACAACTACACGGAGGCCTACGAAGACAACAGGGACGAGCTGGACACGGATCTACTCGTGGAGAAGTATGAGAGGAGTACCGCAACCAGGTTGTCATAGCTCGAAGAGAAGGGATTGTAGTGGCTTATAGTTACCCAAGAGAGGGATTTCAGAAAATGATTCCTATAGTTCTCCAAACAACTAGGATTCTAAATTCAAAGTATTCCCGAGATATTCTTTCTAATGAAGCATGTTAGATTCAAGTACGATTATTTGCTCCAATTAATGCGTAATATTTGGTCAGTTTGAATTACTAAAGTAATTAACAATGTTCTATGAAATATGACAGCCTTGTGCGGTTTTCAGCCGATACAATAGACAGATTTCTAAAATATACAACTATTTATAGACTTCGGATCGCAGCCAATATACCACCGTCTACGGAAAGCATCGAAGACGACGGCTCCTCGGGTGACGAACAGCCACTGAGCGAGGCGGAACGGCGTAAGTGCCACTTAAATTCTATTGATTACTGAAATACTAAACACTTGAATTGCAGAACGACGGAACGAATTTGAGCAGCGTCGCAAGGCCCACTATCGCGAGTTCGAGGCCGTCACGCTCGCCCGGAAGCTGATTCAGGAGGAGGACGATGACGACGAGGACATCGACGAGGATGCAAGGACCTCGGATAGTCGGCCCTCGGGCTCGGCATCTACCTCCGGGCACCTTATGAGCAGTTTGGCGAAAAAGTCACCTGCCACCTCCCCGTCAGCCAGTGCCAGCCTGAATATGGATCTAGAGCCGTCGATCAACTAGAAGCAACGCGTTACACACCGACCCATCAATCAATCAATCACCAATGTTTACGAGGGCAGCTCTTCCAAAATAACGATGATATCAAGTTCACAGAGTGAGATGGAGGAAATACTCGTGTTTAATTGAATTTAGTCCGAACTAACACACAAAATTAAACCGTCGCAAAGGAGTTGCTCATCGTCGGGAAAGGAACGCATGAAATTACTTGTTGCAAATTGTTTTACGTGGACGGTGGGCGGTGGATCTATTGTACGACATCAAATATACATAATCGTATGCGTATCGGCCGTAGCTGACTGTTGCAAAATGTAGTTAACCAAGTGTTTTATATATGGATACAAACTCACACACACGCCTATTTTAGTCCAAGTCTCCCTTCCGTTTGCATTTAATTTCGGAATGAATGGATGGATGGATGTGTAAGTGCCACAAAAAGGGGAGCGTTGGAAGTTAATTTTTGGCCTTACCTTTAGTTATTTATTAATACGATATACTAATATTATGATTACTATTAAGTTTTAGCCATCGAATGCGAACGTTTCAATAAAGCGAACCCAACCCCATTGAAAAGTCGTCTCGGGCGTAGTTCTTCTCGTCGCGAGTATTCAAAACTTGCCGTTTATTTAGATTCCTCTTTTCATATTAGTTATACATCGTAGTGTGTAAGTTAGGGGGTTGTTCTTTTAGACATTGCTGGTCATAGTGAATTGGTAAAGTCTGGGAGTTTTGTGGCCGCCTAACACACATTCCCGTCGTCCAGCCTCCAAGGCAGGCACTAAGTCCGCGGCTCCGCGTACAGCAGGCAAAGGCATCCTCATATTATTGCCAGTGGTGGCTTGCTCTGGCCCCAAGTGCATCATCCGTGGATCTTAAAGGAAGGGCACTTGTACTAAGGGGGGCACTGGCAAGCCAGCGTAGCTAGCGGACTGAGAAGCCGACCTTGAGGGGTTGGATGGGGAACATTGGGGGCGGCCCTTTCTTTTTTCCTATCCTTGCATGTGATTGGCAATTGGAACTTACAGATCTCGATCAGATCTGTTGTATAACTAACTTAATTACGGGTTCATTGACAGATTTTTATAATTTGCTCGTTTTAACAATATCGTAGTATATATATATATGTGAAAATATATATATACATGTGCATATAGAATAGATATAAGCAAAAAGCATGCAAACTCAAACAATAAAAACATTGAGAATCCTGGGCGGGCAGCTCCAAAGGTCGATCGATTAACAATTTACAATTAGTCTTGGGACGTCTTCCGCTTCCCGCCGACCTTGAGCTATCAACAATCGCCTCGCCAGGATCTGCGGTAAGTAGAATATGCTGATAATAAATAGATTAGATTAGTAGTGCGGCTTAAGTCTAGAACAAGGTTCAATCTCATTATCAGTTTCCGTCTTGGGTCGCATCGTCGTATCCATTTCATTTGCTAGTTTAACAGTTTAACAATCATCTTAGAATCTAGTCTATATATGGTTTAGTATATAGCTTTCTTTTCCGCTCTGCTATCTTAGCCATACTATATGCACATGCTCCAAATATGTGTATATAGTATGGGTACATAGAGAATATCGTTTGTGGTGGCCACCATGCCCACGAGTCATCGCCTGCATTGCATCATCATTGCCAAATGGGAGGGCTTAGTTCAATAGATCCGGAATCCCTCACCGATTCGGATGATGACAAATGCGAAAGATGATTCATGGGATGGAATCACCCCTGCTTTGTAGTATTGCATTCACCTAACATGGGTTCGTTTCGTAATATATGTATATATATGGCGTCGTTAGTGGTTCTTTAGGATTAGTATAACAATTGCATATATCCTATATATGTATATATAAATTGGTTCGTTAGTGATTCGTTTTAGTAACATATACATGATCGTTTTCAGTATTATTATGATGAAGTGGGTTCCATTGAATTGTTTGCTGTTATAAATATTGTTTTTCCTCCAACTTGCCGCCCATCTTAGGCCCACATGTGCTGAGTGCCAGGTGGCACCTTGTAGCTGGGATAGCCATTGTTCAACTGATGCTTGGCAAAGAAGGTGGTGTAGTCCTGGAAAGAAATATCACATACATTTCGGTTAGGCAAGGCTTTCATGAGGAGGAGATCTAATCCTACCCGGTTAACTCTCCTGGGACGGCAGACGGGGCCCAATGCCAACTGGCGACGCTCCTCGTTCTCGCGAGCCGCAGCCTCCTTGTATTCCGGTGGGGGCCATTTCAAATCTCCGCGCAATTTGCTGCCTCCTAGAACAACAATCAAATAACAAATAATTTAAAATAGTTATAGTTAATATGTTAACTGAACTCACCCTGATAGCTGACGGCGGCAGGCTGCGAAGTGTAGACTGGCGCTGGCTGCTGGCTAACGGGTGCCTCCTTGCGCAGGGTAATGATACCAGGACTGGCGCCTCGGTAGGCACCCGGCTGCTGCTGCTGCTGCTGATCGGTCTGATCCTGCGAGTAGGGCAGCTGGCCAAGCTGCTGCTGTGGCTGCGAATAAGAATTGTATTGAGGTTGAGCATAGGTCGAGCCACCGTTTTGCTGTGGGTAAAAGGATGGCTGCTGTTGTTGCTGCTGCTGTTGGTACGGTGAAGTCTGATACGATGGCTGCTGTTGCTGGTTCCACTGTGGCTGCTGCTGCTGCTGATGGTAGGGAGCCTGAGTCTGAGGCTGAGCCTGCGACTGAGGCTGCTGCCACTGTGGAGCAGGTTGCTGCTGCTGCTGCTGCTGCCATTGAGGAGCAGGTTGCTGCTGCTGCTGCTGCCACTGTGGAGCAGGATGTTGCTGCTGCTGCTGGGGTGGCTGTTGCTGGTAGCCATCGTAAGACGGAGCACCGTACTGCTGCTGCTGCTGCTGGTCGATCGAAGGTGCAGTGGTTCAGGTGTTTCAGGTGGTGCAAGTGCATGGTGGTGTCATGGTTTTCGATCACAGGTTATGGTTTGAATACATAGATTTATGGTGCGTTGGGTGGGTGCATACACATTGGATGTAGACGGACAGATAGAGTATGTTGGAAATCGAGAATAGATAGACAGAAGATCTTAGTTAGAGGTTGGGTGGTTTAGTTTCGATTTAAGTGTTGATTAGTGTTTGGATAAGTTCGTTTTTTATTGCGCAGTTTACAGCTGAAAGTGGCAAGAGAAAGAAGCAAAAGCAGTGGGTTAAGCCAATGGGTTAATTAAGATCTATGCATATATAAACAGCGATTAATAAAGCTCTATGCGTGCATTATGTTAGTTAGTACAGTGATACTAAATTTATTTTCTTGAAATATAAGATATTATATAGATTTTTACCTTCTTGAAATATTAGATCTAGAGGATAATTGGTTTTTTGATTGATTTGAGTTGTTTTTACTATCAAAAATAATTGATTTATTAAAGAAGATCTTGAGTTATGTAAATATGAAGTATAATCTACAATTGACATTTTGAAAACTATCCTGTTTAAATTTCTTTACGTTTTAAATACTTTTTAAATATGTTTGTATAAACTTTTGAAGATCAGGTTTTTTGTAAATAATTTGAGAAAGAATTTCACATGACTTAAAAATTAATTTACGATTTTAAAAAACCTCAAATTTAATTTTAAAATAAATTTAACACCCTTAAAATTTAAAATTAAAACCAAATCATTTCAAAAACTTTTAGAAATCTCTCATAAGTTTCCATAAATAAAGTATTAAATTTAGTGAATAATAATCTAATTTAAAATAATTAGTAAATGTACAAGAAAAGAGTGTAGGAAATAAGTTAATGCCTAACTAAGTGAAAATTTAGAGAAAGCAAAGGGAAAGGAGGTTAGTAAGTGTCTAAATAGAAAGGAAGAGGGAAAGGAAGTTCAACTGGAGAGAGAGATGGGCCGTGCAATATCTAGCCACTGATCGCGTTGCCAAAAGCCAAGTTCAAGAGCGGTTCCATTCCGGCCAAGACGGTACCTGCTGATAGTTCGGCTGGTGGTGCTGCTGCTGCTGGAACGGGGGATAGGCTCCACCCGTTGGGGCAGCTGCTCCTCCAATGTTATAGTCGCTGTGCGACTTGGCCTGTGGAGCACCAATATGCTTCCAGCCGCCACCGTTGTTAACCGCCTGGTGCGACGGCTCCTGGGGATAGCTGTCCTGCGGATAATGACCATAGCCATTCGAATCGGAGGCAGGAGCTGGAGCTGGAGCTGGAGCCTGTACCGGCACCGACACGGGTGCGGCTACGGGCTCCCTCGAGCGCTGCCGATTGAACTGTGCCTGGGTATACTGCACGGGCTGATGATGCGGTTGCTCCTGGCTGGGATAGCTATCGGGAACGTGGGCATTTTGCGGCTGATAGTAGTTGTTCGTGGAGGTGGTGGGGCGTGGCTGGACGTTGTTATAAATGGGACCCTGCAAGTTGTCAGTGCGGTGTGGTTAGGGGGGGATGGTGTTTGGATGTGGCTTTCGTGGCTGGAATGCTATTGCTATGTACAGGTGCACGCCTCACCGATTGAGACGACGCAAATTTCGGACACAATTATATTTACACACCTCCGGGGGACTCAAACAAACCTTATTATATATATGTATTTACTATATAATATTTACTATTTACTATATACAGGTCATTTGTGGAAAATTCGCGGTGTGGAAAAGGTTTAATTACCTGAGCTGGGGCAGCAGCTGGTTGCGGAGCGACGGTGGCACCGGCCTGGGGATAGTAACCTCCGGAGCCCGGAGCCGGACTCTGCGTCTGCGGCTGCGGGGTGAACTCCCGGATGATCCGCTCCTCGGAGGCCGGGGGCCAGGCCACGCGCTTGTAGCCTGTGTACAAAGAAATGAGCCACGCAAAAGGTAACGATAAATACTCGGAATTCTTGAACAACTGCAAAATGCAGCTGCCGTGCAACAACAACAAAATTTAACATTCAACAAAATGCGGCCAAAATGTGGGCGTCACGGGGCAACCTTGGACACAGCTAGCGCAAACAATTTGAAAATGATTTAAGCCAATTAAAATTATAGCCACCACACAGTGGGCACTTTCTGCAAATCATATGTCTAAATTTAGATGGTGCGAACGAGTCGAAAGCCAAGAATTTGACATTACTCATGATGATGATTAGGTTGGTTGCTCCCAATCAGCGCACTCTGGCAACATGTTGCCTCGCCTTCGCTGCATTGGCAACATCACCAACACCAACATCACCAACAGCAACACCAACACCAACAACAGCAACGGCTAGTGGTTAATGGGATACGTTTGTAGTGTGGTCTTTACCCTCCAGATTCTTGTAGTTCTCGTTGATGATCTTCCACTGTGCGACCATGGTTTTATATCGCTATATCTCTCGCTGTCCCGATTGGGGCTTTGCGTAAGAATAAAAATATTCTCGTATAGATATCAAAAATAACAAATACACGTATATAAACGCGATGTATATGTTGCTATTTTTCTTTATTTTGCGGCTATTTTTTGACTTGCTCGCAACGCAAACGCAGAAATTGGGAAAGTCGAGAGCGTTATATAACCCTCAAGGTGCAATTAATCGATTTCTGAGATTCGAAATAGGAGACTGTCGGGGAACACCACAGTATTATGATTTCTTTTTTTTTTGCAAATCGGCGCGCTTTTCGTTGATCTTTCGGGGGGTTTTGTATAGATCGATAATCGTTGAAAAATGGGGAATTCAAAATTGTTTTCGGCTTTTCGGTAACGCGGCGTATTGATTTTTTTAAATTTGTTGATTCGATTCGATTTGATTTGATTTGATTGGATTCGATTTAATTCGCGTTCGTTTTCGCCCAATTTGAATTTCTATTTCTATTTTCTATTTGCTAATTCGTTGATCGTTCGCGCTGCGATATGTTTGCCTTCGATGTATGCTACTAAGTGAAATTATTCGGGTTCGAGATGGCCAAGATACAGAAAATATACACACAACCCACACACTCGGCGGGCGGGCGAGCGATTTTCGTCGATCTTCGTCGATGAGCTAAGAGATCTTGGCGATCTTAAAAATCTCGAAAAAGAAGCACTGAGAGATCGAGAAAGAGAGAGTGTGGGAAAAAGTTCGAGGAAAAGTCTAAGGCTGCCGAAGGTTCGTCCGCTAACGAGGCTGATCTTGGTCTTTGGGGCCTTCATCATTATCATCATCATCATCATCCCGAGAGCGGGATCCTGGCCCACTTTTCCGCATTGTTTACACCTTCAATTTTCTTGATTTGTGGGCCGCACCTTGAAATACCATCAACCCAACAATGGTGCCCACTCGCTTACTCGCGGCAGCAGTCGATCTCAAGGTGTTTGCCACCTCAGCTATCTATATATATATATATATAGATATAGGTTTTGCATATTTGCGGATCTCTGCCCAGATCTATATAACGTGCTGCTGGTGTTTATTGTTCTGGCTTTCTGACTGGCCTGGCCTGGCCCCCGCTTCCCATTTATCTTGTGGATCCACTTGCCTCCTCGTGGGATCCCACTAAGAACTAACTATCTATCATCCATCTTGTGGCTGTGGCGGATTTAGTACGTGACTCAAGGAGTGGCGGTGGCTAAATTTAAACGGCTGTCATCTTGGGGCGAACTAAAACAAATCTGTTTTTAAACGTATTCACACAGGTGTACGACAAAAGTTGGCTCATTAAAATTATTAGCAAAATTGTAACTCATAGCCGTACAATTATCTGGTATAATAGGTACACTTTTCTGCCCTGCTTGTTAGCCACGCAACAAAATCGCTTTGAGGGCCGCCAAACGTCACAGATAAATAGTACAAAAGACATTTTGGGTTCTTTGCATACATTATCTTATTTTTGGGGCCAGTCATACATTTTGCACATGCTTAGCCGATATTGATCTTTGCATAAAAATATAGCAACAAAAAGATCTTGTCTACATTTTGAAGAAAATTATTCTACAAAGTATTGAAAGTGCTTCATAAAATAGGTATTAGTTGGAATTATTATTGAAATATGTATGTAGCAATTATTATTTTTGCTTTGGGGCTCTAAATCTTTAAAAGTCTGGTCTGCAAATATTTATATATCGAACAGTCGTCTGTGTGTGACATAAGACTGCTCTAAAAGTGAGCAATATAATTTTAAAATAGAAACATATGATCTACCAATATAAAATGAATAAGATGAATGAGCGTGGAATGGAACTTGTATATAAACATATATATCTTGTATATTAAGGTCTACTGAAAAGGAAAACGAATGAGAAAGTTTGGCTAAAATCGTTTTAGCCAAGTTAGCTTTGCAACAAACTGTTGGAGGTTTCAGAAATCCCTTTTCTTCCCTATCTTTGCTTAAAAACGATCATTTCTGGTATGAATATATTCCTCAAATGATTCTGATTCAACAACACCCACTGACAGTAACATATAGATACAACATTTGGGTGAATACACATCGGATCAAGAGACACTGGGAAAGACAGAACATTTGTCAGCGGGAAATCCCACGAACCTTCAATGCCCAGATATGGACGTGGCGATACATTGTCGAAGGAACGATTCACATTGAAATCCCGCTGCACCTCGTCGAAGGAAGCCAGCGACTTGAACTTGTGCTGCTCTGACGCTGACGAATCCTTACTGGGGAATTCGAAGGGCGAGGGCTGGGCCGCTAGACGAGGCGTGGCCGGTGGAGTGGCTGCTAGCATAGAGGAGGATGCCGTCATGCTCTGCTGCAGTGGCTCCGTGGCGGTCTTCACCAGCAGTCCAATGTTGTGCCCATCCAGCTGTGGCACATGCGAAAATTTTGGAGTAAGATTCACGGGCGAAGGAGAAGCTTTTCCCGGAACAGGATTTAAGCCAAAAGGTGAGCTGGCTCGCTGTGGTGCTTCTATGAGGGGAGCAGGATACTTGCGAGAGGGCAAAGGACTGGGCGAACGACTTCTCTCCCAGGTGATTTCCTTTTCTCGGAGGCTGGCTTGGGGCAGTGGTGGTGGAGGAGGCGGTGGCGGTGGCGATGGCGGCGGAGAGTCCGGAGCTGGAGTGGTTACAATTTCCACAAAACTGCGCTGACGCTGCAACTTTTCGCTGGGGGCTGGAGTTTTCTCTGCTGCCGTTTGGGTATCCTCCCAGGAGATTTGTCTAGAGATGTAAGGACTGCGGATCTCATAGGTGGCCTTGTAGTTCTCCAGCGGTTCGTTCTGCAGATTGGCAATGCGCCACTGATCCGCCTTGTTGAGTTTGGCCCAATTGTTGGGCGAACATCGCATCTCATCGCAGCAGGGACAGTACATAGAGGAGAAGGCTTCATGGGCACAGGCTGGGAGCTCTTGATCCTTATCTTTTGATAGATCTAGGTTGGATTTGCTTTTGGTTAGCTCCTCTTTACTTTCACCTAGCTCCGTTATAGATGTTAAATCCTTTTTTCCTTCTTGACTCTCGCCTTTGTCATGTGCTTCTTTATTTCTTTCTCGGAACTCAGTTTCGGCCGGTTCTTTCTCTTTGCCATCCTTCTTTACCACTATTGGCAGCAGTTCTTTCTTAGTTCCTTCTCCTAATACATCCTTGTTAGCTTCTCTTAAACCCTTTTTCACCAGCTGCTCTTCAATGGCTTTCCTTAGCTCCGTCTTTCGTGTCACCTCGCAGGCTTCCTTCTCCTTTTTGGCCACCTGCTCATCCTGCCATTCCTCGAACTCCTTTTTGGCCAACTGCTCATAGTTGGCAATTACATCGGATACGTGTCGATATTCCGTGTCCTCGTCCTCGATGACTACGTGTTGGGCTTCAACGGCAGCTGGCGTTGTACGGAGCTCTACGTGCATGTGCTCCTGCTCCGCCTTAGGTTCCTCCTTGCGCTCCAAAGCCACTGCAATTTTGTGCAGATCCTCCAGAGCCCGCTCCACAATGGGTACGTTCTCGGTGAGGGACTCCTCCTCCTCCTCCTGTGCTTCCTCCTTGACCTCCTTGGGCAGACTAGAGGGAAGTCCAGCTGCCCGGGTGTAAATCTGGCGGAGAATGGCCTGCAGAGGACTCTCCACGGCCAAAATTGGTGATTGTCGGTGGGCGAAGATGTCCCAGGAATCATTACTCCCTGAACTGATGGGTCTCAGAGGTTGAGCTGGAGGCGGAGGAGGAGGTGGTGGAGTGGGTGGTGGAGGAGTTGGTGTAGGAGTGTTTTGGACACTCCTCTGCAGCGCCTGCTTAGCATTCTCCATGTAGGCATCAATCTGGAGCAGATGCTCCGCTATAGACTGCTGAATGTGAGCATACTTGGCCTCCAGTTGGGCAATCTCCACATGAGCCTCGTGCTGCTTCTCCGTTTCCGTTTCCAGCCTGAAGATGCCACCCTGTCGGCGTGATTGCTTGACCTTGAGCTCTGCTTCTGGTCCAGATTTCGGACGCATCACTGGTGGTGGTGGCGGCGGTGGCGGTGGAGTAGGAGTGGAAGGAGTGGGAGTGCTGGGCTGACGCTGGAGCAGCTTGATCCCACTGGTGGCACTCACATAGGTGGGCGCCGGCGAGGGCTGGCGCTCCTCCATCTCCTGGTGGTCCTGCAAATACGAGCAGGCCTCGTCGTAGATCTGCTGGGCACTTGGACACTTGGGAACCGGATCGCGCGACGCTTCCACCCGAACGGGCACAATACGAGTGGCCAGCTCTGGGCCAGCACTGGGACGCGAGATGGCCTCATTGGTGGCTAGTGCCAGAGCCATCTGCTGCTTCTGCTTAATTGCCAGGTTGTCAATTACCGCTCGACCCGCTGTCTTCGCCTGAGTGAGATTCGCGCCAGCTGGGATCGGTGGCAGTGGCACGGCCTCCAAGTCCACCTCATGTCCGGCGGCGATAGCCGCCTCCTCCTCGCTGTCGGCTTCGTGTCCGTAGGAGATCTTAACCTCGGTGGCCAGCTTGATGCATCGACGCTGTACCTTTGGCTTGGCATTCCTAGGCTTTGGAGGTGGCAGTTCTGGAGCTGTGCCTACTGCCCGCTTGCGTGAACGCCAGCGGTCCAGGGAGTAGGCCTGCCGCTTGGGTCGGGGGCGATAGGGTGTCGCTGGTATGGGCAGGATGGGAGTTGTGGGTCGCTTTTGGGCTAGCTGCTCGTAGTATTCACATCGCGGAGCCACTAGACCCAAGTCCACGTCTGCTGCCTTGGTTTCTGGAGCGGAAAAGCCCTTGGAGACGGGCGTGGAAGGAGGGAATATGTCGGACAACTCACGATCTCCACCTGATGCAATTTGCGGCGTCTTGGATCTCTCTTTGGAGCGTCCCTCCCTTTGCCGCTGCTCCCTCACCTGCTTGGCCGTGGGCTCTATAATCATTGTGGGATTCTGGAACTTCTCCCTCAGAGCCTCAATACTGTGCGAGGGATAGGCGGAGGAGGAGGTAATGTGACTCTGGTCGGGATTAGAGACCACATCCTGCTCCGTTGGCGGCCAGCTGTGATCGCGCTTGAGGAGATGCCGCTTGGTGGCCAGACGATTGATCTTTAGCACCGTGTCCCGATCGATGGTGATGTCCTGCTGATGGCTAAGGAAGTCCGTCTTGATTTGGTCCAACAATTGCTGGTGCAGGGCATGATGCAAAGAGGCAGCATCCCCCTCGCCTCGGTGCCGCTGACGGCTCTGTCTTTCGGCAGGATAAAAATCTTTTTTGTGGGCCAACAAAACCCATATTTTTCATGTAAAATAATCATCTGCAAAATAACACACACACAGATTTCTGGACAGGAACGGAAACTGGGACGCAAAGTGGCTGTTATATTTTTGTTGAATGTTCTACATTGTTTTTTTTTAGGTTCTGTGTGAAACATAAAAATGCACGCACACAAAACATGGATGTAATAATATTTAAATCTTACCACATTTGGCTTGTTGTTCTTCCTCTTCGACGGCGCGCAGAACGGCCGAGTTGGCCAAGTTCAGGGGCTTCGTGATTTGTTCGTCGACTTCAATCCTGAAAATGTTGTAAAAATTGAAGAAAAATTAGTAAATTGCTAGAAAATTTTTGAAAATATTGAAATACAATTTGAATTTTGCGGGTTTTCTGCTTGTTTCACTGCCTTGCCGAGAATTTTAAAGCAGTGTATACACAGCACTGCTTAAACTGCTTTAAAAACAGGTGGATTTGGAAAACTATTTTTGATTTCAAATTTTTAAAGGCTACGATTTTTTGAGGATTTTTTCATATAAAGTTATATTTATATAAAGTCAAAACGTGCATTAAAAATAGAAATATATCTTTTTTTTCATGTATTTTTTCTTATACATTTCTTTATAAAACTGAAAACTAATTTCTAACTTATTTAGAAATGGGCAATCCCTTAAAATTATTTTTGATTCGGTATCCCCTTCAATTTATTAATAAATCCAAGTAAAGATACGTTAAAACAAGCTTTCCAAGTGGAAATATCTATTTTTATACAAAGTTGAAAGGATTTTGGGGTTTCTTCCATTGTTTACTATTTACAATATTTACAGCTGATGGCTGAGACTTGTTTGCAAACAAAACCCGTCTTTGTTATTATTTTTGGATGCGACGTAAATATAAGGCGAGCTGAGAGAGCTCTCAATACGCAATACTGGGGCGCATAAATTAATCCTAGCATCCTGCGATGTCCTGGCATTGAAAAGCACTCTGACCCCAAAAGGACTAATCCATTCCGACAAGTTGCCGCTGCGTTGGCGGGTATAAAAGTGACTGCCGGTGGCCGCCAGTGCATCACAACCCGACCAGCATCTTCCCAGAAAGCATGTCCCGTTCTTTGATCCACCTGCTAGTGCTGCTCCTGCCGATCCTGGGCCACCTGGAGACGGTGTACAGCAACGAGAGTATAACGTTCAACAAATGCGGCGAGGGACTGTCCAATTTAATGATTGAATTGTGCATCAATGGATTTCATACGCACTTTAGCCACAAGCGCACCTCCCCTAGTAAGTAACGAAGTATATATTATAAATAAATATTTTACTAACATCTTGCATATCCAGTGACTGATCTGAATCTATTCGATTATGTGGACAACATGGTGGATTCTAGGAGCGAGGAGGTGGCTGTCATCAGACCCCATCATCCTCGGCTAAACTCTTTGATGGCCACTCGTCGTCTTTCCCGGCTAATTGCGGACGAATGCTGCACCAAGAAGTGTACTCTCAGCGAAATTATGGCCTATTGCCACTAAATCATTTGTTATTATAATCAAATATACCAGTTTATTGCATTTATATTTCTATGTAAATATATATACTCTATACACTAAGATATGTATTCATATTTGCTCAAGCGTGCTGCATTTAAAAATTAATAAAAGTGTTTCAATTCACACAAGTATATGAAATCATGACACTATACTAATTGGGAAAATTTTAAGAACAGATGTTCATTATATCGTTAAATTATTTTCAAGCTCAATAATTTTATTTCAAATGTTCACCACACCTGTTGCCACTAAGCTATTCGAAAACTTGTGTATTTTTCTGTCTACAAAACAACTTCCTATGTTATACAAAGATTTGTAATATACATCATATTTAATTACATATTTGATAAAATTATCAACCTTTTTTAACATTTATAAATACATAAATGTAGTTTTTTGTGTTAGTTATAAGTTTAATTAACCTATTAATCCTATTGTTAACCTATTAAAATTAGCACAGAAGATCTTTCCAAATTAGAATTTCTTAAAGTTTCTTTCTTGTTTATTATAACAAAATTCAGATTTTAGTTGCAAATTGTAGTATATATTACTTTTTCAATCATTCCCATTTTGGGCATAAGATGCCTCAAAAAAGAACTGAAATAGAAGTATTCCTTTGAAATAATCGATACGATAGAATATTTAAGAAGAAAGTCATAGTCATAGTATCATAATAGGATCCTGAAAATGTTGCAATGTATTTGAGGTTTTTAATCCTCAACAACGAAAACAACATATCTCAAAATATTTTTAATGTTTCTCTAAGTTCTATACCTGAAATAACTCCAAGCTAAATAAACTTAGTATTTTTAGAATTACATCTTCAACAAATAATGATTTTGCATTTACAATTTTTGGATGCAAATAATAATAGGGACGGTAAGAGCGTAAATTAGCCCGACTGTCAAAGACTGTCGATGTACTGCCATTGAAAGGACACCCATCGACTCCAAACGGACTAATTCCTTTGGAGAAGTCACCGTTGGCTGTTCTGACAGGTATAAAAAGGGATGTAAGCAGCAGCCAGTTCATCATATCCTAACCAGGATCTTGGCGAAAAACATTCACCAACTGAGATAAGCTGGACATCTCATGTTCAAAATTATCTGAGTAGTTTCTTTGTAACGATTAAACTTTTCTGAACATTATTTTACCTGCTCAAAGAAGTTTTAAAAATATAATATTACTCTGATTTATTTTTTACAAAGTTGATAAAGATTTCAAACAACAAGAAGGCATAATCAATGCTAACCCACAGCGACAAATAAAACACATTTACGAGCTGAATGCCGTGCATTTTATGGTCATTATTTCAAAATCGTCACTGGTTTTGGGGTTTTTCATTTTCACAAATCATGAATTTACGTGTGAATTTACCTCTTTTGCAGTGATTCTGATGAACACTGATGATGAGGCTTTCCCATCCACAGATGAACCATCAGCGAGATGGTCATCGAGCGCTTTTTAAATTATAATTTATCTTTCACTTGTTTTACATACAGTTGTATATATATTGTAAACCAAGCAATAATTTTTTTCGAAGCAATTATTTAATATTAAAAACATTTATATTTCTAGCATTCTTTCCTACTTCACATAAATTGGTTTGTTCAAAAATAAATATTTGTACATTATTAGACATTTGTAAGAGGATTCGTTGCCAGGAGAAACGAAATTTTGATTTTGATTTGAAGCGCAGCAAGTTGGGTGGAAAACTCGCTCAAGGAAAATTGTGCATGAGAATTTTCTTAAAGCTGCTAAACGAGCGTTGCATGCGGGAGGGTTTTCAACTTTAATTATAATTTGCTTGAAATGTTTTGCTCGCCTTAATCCGCCTGAAATGCCTGCTCTCCTTTAGCTTTCAGAGATAACAAACAGAAATATTTAAGACAAGAGAATGTGCCAGTTTGTGACAAACTCTTAGATAAGGCCTTTAATAACGTAGCCGGGAGATAATCAAGGCACTTTAATATGTATGCTAAACGAAAGGCAAAACAAACTAAACTACATAAATGTAATGACTAGGCATCAACTTTAATTAGTTGATTCATTTCGACTAATCGCAAACATCCTGAAAATCTCTCATTTGCCGCAAGCAAATATTTGTCCGAAAATAAATAGAAATTCAATTGAATTCGTTGAATTCTGATGATTAAGGCTTGCCAAATATTTGCAGAAATGAATACGTAATGGCTGTATTGGATTTTGATTAATTTAGTGGGGCAATTTTCTAATTATTTTTCAGAGGTTTATTATGGGTTAATCGTCGATTTCCTTGTGAGTCATGTGCTGGGCAGAAAGTCAAGAGATGCATCACACATTTTGGCTAGACGCCTGCCGCATGTTTGTTGACATTGTTTTAGTTGTTGCCACTAATTCTGTTTCTGTTGCATTAAATTAAGCGCACTGACTCATTCGACCCGCTGACGTTTTCATTTATTTTAAATTTCGCATTTGACTTGCTTTTACACCCAAAAAAAAAAGAGGGGAAAGTTTTTCTAGACTGATAAGATAACATAGATAATACAGAGTACATGAACATGGTAAAGTTTGAAGTACAGAAAATGAATTGCCCCAAAAGAGATCTAAATTAAGGAATAACATATTAAATAATTTGTTTATCAGAAAATTTAAGGATTATAATAATTTATTAAAAAAAGATACGAATTATGAGCCTTAATATTTGAGAAGTTCTATGCTTTATACTTTGACTTTAATCTTCTGTCAGATCAATAAATAATCTTATCTAAATATAAAATATTAATATTCTATTTATAATTATACGATCTGATCTGGTTTATTCCCAATATATATATTAAAATATTAATAAATGAATGATAAATTTATTATGAAACTTGAATTTAATATTGAAAATATCAGTGATTGGCCTTTTTTGTCATTTTTTAATAGGCTTAAATTTAACTGAAACAGTTCATGACCACACTATATATTCATGGAAACCTAGATGACCATCGATATTAATATCAAAAGCTGCATATAAACATAATAAGTTTTCATTTTTTTTGTTTGCATATTGAAGCTTTTTCCTTATTTCTGTTGCACGCTTGAGTGGCGTTATATAAAAAGCATCTTTCACGTACATTTTGTATGGAAGTTTGTAGTTAGTTGGGCGAAGCCTTGGCTCAGCTGCTGCTGTTTTTTGGGGGAAAACTTGCACCCTAATACGGGAAAACACGTTACGCACACACTCACACACAGGAGACGCGCGCGCGAAAATGCGTTTGAAAGTTTTTGGGTTTCGCAGTTTTCAGTTTTCAGTTTTCAGCTGTCAGTTTTGGTTTCTCGTTTTTCAGTGCTCAGGTTTTGCCGCTTTAGTAATTAAATTTGAAGAGTCTTGGGCCGATGCTGCTGTTGCACACGTTTTGTCGCACGCATAGTCACCGAATAACTGAAAGGCACTTAAAGTTTTTGCTCACCAGAGCAGAGATGGCTCTATCTGAATCTATATACTATATATGTTTAGTTGTCGCCGATCGGCAAGGTGAGTGGCGAGGTGTGTGCGGTGGCCGGTTTTTATTTAAACAACAATTGCAAACAACAATGCCTGCGATAATGTTGTTGCGGCGACATCGCAACAACACAAGCAGCAGCAGCAGCAACAACAGCAGCAACAGCAACAGCAGCAGCAGCAGCTACAAATAAATTCAAGTCTAAAGCATCTTTCAGATACGCGCATCGCTGGCGCTGCTTATAAAGCTTTTTGGTAATTACAATTAAACGTCAAAGCATTTAATTGTAGAGCTTGTTTTTGTTTCTGTGACTGTGTGTCTGTGTCTGCGACAAAAGGCAACAAATTGGCAGCGTTGCAGCAGCAGCAGCCGCTGCAGTTGCAGTCGCCGTTGCAGTTGCAGCCTCTGTCAACGTTGCGCTGCACTGCACAAAAATAAAGGTGGGGTCTGCCCCCGCTGTAATCCTCACTAATTAATGTGTTTTGTGCACCTGTTTTGTGGCACTAGCTTTGGTGTCTGCCAAAGTAGAATAAAAGCAAAACTTGGTGGCTTTTGATGGGGGATACAATTTACCAAAAAAATATTAATAAAACCGTAACCGGTGCCTTTGAAATTTAATATTATCCTATTTTATATGTTATATTTGAATTATTTCCTGAACATTGGAGTTTTTTTCTAATAAATCTAGAATAATTTTTTTGAAGTTTGCATATAAAATATTGCAAGAGAATTAATAACTAAGGAAATACTAAAAATAATGTCCTTATAGCTCAGTTCTGAGTCTATTAAGTTCATCTAAGGTAAATAGAATTTGTATGCTCTCTGTCAAAATAAATATAAATAAATATTTAATCATCTGCTTAGCTTTTTAATATACAAAGTCATGAAGTTCAAGTTCAACCTGTAAATGGTTATTAAATACATTACTTAAAGCAATTAATTCCCAAAATCCTTGAATAAATATAAAGAATAAGAAAAAGAACTAATTATTTGATTACCTTAATTTATGATTCTTTTATACTTATTTTTGACTAATTTATTAACATAAAGTTTCCAATTTTGACCCATTTTCCAACTTTCCCCACTTTTGACCCTGAATAAAACTCCCCTTAACTCATTATTTGACAAGTCCTGGGCTCCGGTCAAGTCGACTAATTAGCAGTATTTGGCTTTTTGTGGGGAAAAGCAAATTTATAAGGAAGATTATTATAAAATTATAATACCCCAGGGTTACTACTGGCTGGCCATGTAATAGGAATCGCGTTGACTAAGCGGAAGGCAAACCGCCAGCCGGGAAAGCACTCTGCCTTCCTCCGCTTTCATCTATTTTATGAAATTATGCATTTAAATGTATGATAATCATTTCGCTTCGGTGGAGAGCGTTTTCTTTTTCCCGCTTGCTCTTTTTTTTATTAATTCTTTTCTATATTTTTTTTCTCGGAGGTTTTTTATTATTACGAGTACTCACCCCTCGGCGCCGAAGGCCTTCAGCTCGCGGTTCAACGTGGCCTTCACGTTCTCCTGGGAATAGAGGCCCATGGGCGAGTTGAACTGCTTGTGCACCAGCTTCCGTTGTGCCATTTTGTTGTTTTTTCTTGCTCCTTTTTTGTTTTTGTTGTATTTGTATGTGTCTTCCTTGGACTGCTTGCTCCTGCGGAATCCTTGGGCTCCGTTTGCTGTTTGAGTTTAGCTCGGTTCTATTCTTGGTTCCTCCTCGGCTGACTTTTGTTTGCCTGGCAGCTGAAGCTGAAGCTCTTCTCTCCTTCGGATGTCTTCAAAAGTTTTTCGAAAAATATTGTTGATAAGAAATATTTTGAAAAAAATGTTCTACAAGACTGCTTGTATCCGCTTATCGTTCTCGGTTCTAAGTTCTCAGCCGCTGCTGCTGTTTGATCTTTGCTTTTCTCTGTTTGCTGTTTGCTGGCGGTAAGTGGACGGCAAAAGAATCCTAAGCACTTTCCCCTACTTCAGTTGGACTTAATGTTAATCGTTAATTGTCGGTCGTTGTTCGTTCTGTAATTGGAAATGCAAATGCAAAAATTGTTGAATGAAATTTAATTCGAACAAAAGTTAATTGAAAGGGGTAAAGCGAGCAATTGTATAGTGATTGTGGGTGTGTTTCTATAAGAGGAGAGTAAAGACTTCATTAGAAATCTCACTACAAAATATTTTGCACGTATAATTGGTCGTAATAAGAGAGTTCTTTATTTGTACTAGTTCTTTAAATTATGCTGTTTCAAGGAGAGCTTTGTAATTATTTCTTTAAGGAACTTTTATTTATTTTTCATATGTATAAGAATATATTTCTCATTAGATTACCACTCTTGCTATTAACATATATTAAGTTTAATCTCTCGATATTTACTATTTGTTAGTAATTCCTTGCTGTTATTCTACCAATATTAAACCCATTTTCTTAATTAAAACCTAAAATATGTGCAGTCAAGTGATCTTTATTTGCAAATACCATTGTCAAACAAGAAATCTAGTTAAATAAAAGGAGGAGAAAATAATGATAGCATTAAGTTTCAATGAAATTTTACTATTAATTTCGGCACAACTTCTCTGTGAGCTATTTATTCTTGCATTTCTTTAATGCCTTTAATAATCCTTTCCAAATTTAATGTCTAACTTGATTGTTAGATGCAGACATTTATTGATTTTTGTAATTGAACACGCAACGCGAAACAGAATGAGAAAATTTTAATTAATTCGAATTTCAAGAAGTTAAAGATTCAATTAATGCTTAAGCTCTTTTCCTTTTAGCACCATAATAATTATTTAAATTCCAAAGGGTATATTTTAAATATAAAATTTGCATTAAGTACTATTTTAAAACCATTGAAATGATGTTGAAAAACCTTGAAACTATATGATGTTTTGCCTTTAAAAATATTTCCTTTTAATTAATGCCATTTTAAATGCCTTCCAATGTTATTTCTATGAAGCTTGTATAACACACAACCCTCTCTTTATTTATGAATATTTTCAAAATTAATTATAAACACAAAACAAAAACTGGGCAACTCGTGAAACTTTTCTAGCGAGAGCGAAAAATAATTTCACAAATATAATTTCCAGACTTCGGCAACAAACACTTCAATGTCAACGCTATATACACATATGTATGTATATATATAGATATATACTTTATATATACAACACGATATGGCGATGAAATGCCATGTGTATATAAAGAATTTGTATAATTCAGGTCTTTCAATTATGCACTGGAATCAACGAATTTGCATGCCACTTTGTGGATATATAAAATTCCTTGTCAATTTTACAGCTGTTGCCAACAAATTACAAAATGGGAAAATATGCAAAGTGCGCGCGCTTAGTATTTATTTTTCCAATTTCCTGGGACACTCACTCACTACTGTCACATTGAGAAATGTATCTTAAACTAATTTGAGCACTGCTCTGCTGGGCAAAACAATATTTTGGGTGTGTGTTCGGGCCATTTGTTGTATTTGCTATATGTGTTTTTTTTGGCTTAAAAATAGCACCAAAGACAACGGCAAAAATATTGAAATGTGCTCAATTTTTATTTTTTATTTTTGCTACACTCATATTTTCCACACACACACACAGACAGACAGGCATACACAAGATCTCTCATTTTCTCACATATAGTCTCCTCTATTTTGAAATTCCCGCCTTGTGTGTCACCTCAAATAAAATTAGCAGCTGTGAGGAAAAGATATTATTATTATTATTTAGATTTGCGTCATTTCGAGTGGTACACTTAGGGAAAATTGTTGAAGGAACCCGCGTATATGTACCATATATATAAGGAATTGAAATTAAAGGGAAATTTAATGAAGAAATATAGAGAGAAATGGCTAATACTTAAACATGATTTCTTGTTATTAATCGAACTTAAAAAAGGTTGTATTTCATTTTAAGTCCTTTCCTTTCCTTAAGTACTCCTTTGTGTTTATTAATCTTGACATTTGAACTTGATTTACATCTTAAAACATTTTTGTCCAGTGTATGAAGAACACAAGAAGCAATGGAAATTGCAATAAAAGATACTTGAAATAATCGTAATGAAGTATTTTTGTGTTTGCTCACATTTTATACGTTTTAATTGAGCAATTGTGCTGTTGTTGCTGCTGCTGTTGCTGCTGCTGTGTTGCAGCTGCCACAGCTGCTGCCCCCGTAAGCACGCAATATTCTGGCCGGGCCAAGCAACGGAAGCGGACCAAGAATCGCACAAATTAATCAACATTTAATAAAATATTATGCAAATTACACACAAAAGGCAGGAAAGCAGCAGCAGCGGCAACATAAAGAGAGCGCCAGCAGCAACAAGAGCTTGCCACTTGATGTCCCAATTAAAGTTTAACACACAATTCATACACTGGCACACACACTCATACTGAGGCACACCCCCGCTCACACAGATACTCGAACACAAACAGGTGCGTGCTGCACTCTGTGTACTTAGCACACGAATTGTAAGAGAAATTTGCATAAAAATTCTCGCAAATATAATGTTTTAAAAAAAAAGTAAAATAGGAGTGTAGATGTGTGTTTGTGTATATAACCCTCAGCCATATGGCAGCCTCTCTACGCACACACGCACACACACAATTGCAGCAGTCATTTCAATACTCTTTTTCGGGGCCAAAATATTTCAATTCGGCAATGTGTGCGGTTGGCCAACGAAATAAATTACGAGCCTCGGGACATGTGTGTACATTTGGAATCGAGTTGCAAAGCCAAGAGTCCTCTCCGCCACAATTATATTAACCAATTCTCTCTCTCTCTTTAAAAACGGCAGTTACTTGTTGGCCACAAAAAGAAATACAAGCAGAGTTTGTTTTTAAAATTTAAATTGCCCGAGGAGCGATGATATTCAATCAGCCGGAATAATAATCTCAATAGTTTTTAAATTGAAGTGTAAATATTTTGTCGAATAATATTTAGCTTGCAGGCTGTATATATTATTTTTTAATTGAAAACAATTAGTTAAAATATCAAGAAAATATGTCTTACATTTCCTAGTGATTTGCCTCAAGATATATCACTTAAACTTTGATTTGAAAAGATTTGTTCATTTAATTTAAAAATTCTCAAGAAATGATAGTTGTACTGTTGTTTTTGTAGCATACTTTTGAGCACCTTCTGAGGTGCTTTTAAATTATTCCGAATTTTGTGTGGTTTATTATTATTATTATTATTTTTAGCTATATTATATGAATATTTTTGCGTGCTTCCCACCAGGTTAAATACAACTTTAAGAGATTCCCCTCATAATTGCTTGAGTATTGAGTTTTGGCTTTTCCCCCGAAGCAAATGGAAATATTATATGCAAAATTCAATTTCTAACTTTTGACGGAATATACAGGTGAGAGTATGAGAACTTCCCCGAAAACCTAATTAACATCTCTCTCGTTCACGTTCCCGTTCTCACTCTTGTTTTCATTTTCGTTCATTTTTCAGTGTCTTTATTTTGGCATCGACATCATCATTATCATCGTCGTCCCATCGGACTGGCTCCATGGCCATGTGTCTTTGTGTTAGGGCTCTCCTGTATATAAACTATAATCGTGGCTAAATGTGTGAGTGTGTGTGTGGGGGTGTACACACACATATGCACTGAAATCAGGTGCAAATATTGTTAGATTTGCGTCGAGGCGAGAGTCGAGGCATTTCACTAAAATCTGTGTGCCAACGCATCTGTGGATCTGCGGATTGCGCATCCGAAAATCCTGTATAGAATCCAGGATGAGAGTGAGCTGTTGATTTAGCCAGCCATGTTTTTTGCCGATTTAATTATTAATCGAATGCATTGTGCCACGGAATTTGTTTTAGTTCAATTGCTTGAATATTTAGTTTCTACACAGAAAGAGAAAGTTTTAGAAGCTCGCAGGGATTTGAATTATTGATAAGGATAAATGTATAAATTAATTTGATAAATAATCAATGTAACTTAAACATTAAAAAATTTGATAGATTTATGATATTTTAAATAATTTGTTCAATAGGAACAGGGGGTATTTTCAATAATTATGAAGCTTATTATATTTATACTTTAATACATTTTGAAAGGACTTGCCAAGATAGGTCAATATGTGGCTCATTAAAAAATCTATACAACAAATTTTATTGATATTATATTATTCAAATTTAAAAAGAACTCCTTTTATAAAGCTCATAGTATTTTATTTTCATCTGAATTCTTTTGTTTGGTTTGGCTTTTTATTAAATATTAAGTACTAAACTCTGTGTTTTTGTAAGATTAAACTAAAAAGAACTAGATGATACACCATTATATTTATAGAAATTTGAATAAAAAAATACGAAAGTTAATTTAAGATTTTAAGTAATATATTTATTTCTTGTATAGTTTCCAAGCTAATTTCAAGAACCCAATTAATATGACTTTTCCTAATTCTTTAATACATTCAAAGTTCCTGAACAAAGTTTTAGAACATAAATATATATTAACCCAACGTACTTTTCAATAGATTTAATCCTTTATTATTAAATATTATTCCCCTTTTCTAAGCTGTAAAGTTTCATACTGTTGGTAAATCTAATTAAATGAAGCCAAATATTTATTTTTTCCTGGGTGTAACCCACTTGTTTTGTGCTTTTGAAGTGCGGATGGTGCGGATGAGGTGGTGGTGGGTGGTGTGTGGTGTGTGATGGGTGTGCGGGCGTTGCACCAAAAGTACACTAATATTCAACGAATAAACACACGCCCAAGAGCCTGCTTAAGTGTAAACACACACATGCACTGCACCAAAATACGTATTTATTTGCTTTTAAATGTGAATGCTTACTTACCGTCTGTTACAATTTGGCGCTGTTTAGCTGCTTAATCCAAAAATAACGCCAGCCAATTGCGAAAGTTTGCCTCCGGAGTGCTTGCTGTTTGCTGCTGCTGTTGCTTTGCCTTGACCCCGCCCACGACATCTCAGCTTCCGCCCCTTTGGGCGCCCCCCATCCTCCTCACGCAACCGCCCCCGCACCCGCCACTGCCCAAATTGTTTGCACTTTGCAGCTATGCACTTTGTGCACTTTTTTGCTGTGTGGCAAGCTGCAAGTGGAAGGTGGCAAGCGGCGAGGGGCACGTTTTGTGCGAGCTAGCTGGGGGAGAAGCGAGTACGCGTCCGCGTCCGCCGAAAACCGGCGTTTTGTAAGCGCACCATCGGCCAACTGAATTTGAAACTGAAACTGAAAACGAAACAGCAACAGAAACAGAATTGGACGCAGAAAACATTCGAAACATCGGAATCATCAGCAGAAGCAGCAGCAGCAGCAGTTGGGGAGCAGGAGAAACGCTTGGCTTTACGCAATGATCGAAGGCGGCGCCTTTTGTTTTTGTTATTTTTTCATCATCAGTCTACATTTTCACATCTTTGGCACCGTCGAACAAGAGGAAGAGACCAGGCACAGGAATGTCTCTGCGGGTGCGAGCGAGTGCGTGTCTTCAGATACAGATACAGATTCGATGCGTTACACTGGCGTCCGCAAAGAGTGCAATGTTCGGGCCGAAAATGGGATCGATAGTTTAAAGCATTTAAGAGTCTCTACTCACTATGTTTGTTTAAAAAATAGTATGGAAAAAATTATGATAACAGGAATGGAAACTAACTACGGGAAGCCTAGTTTTATATATTCTTGCAGTTTGCGTTTGAATTATAGGATGGCATCGGAAATCTTTCGATATTTTTCAATATGTTTATATCACAATTTGTTGGGCAAATCAAAGTTAAAATATCTCATAACTTCTACAACAAAAAAAAGCATTAATTTCAATTCGGAAAGCATTCTAAAGTTATTTTTTCTTAGCTTAATTAACCTGCAAATTTTATTTTAAATATAAAAAAATTGACAATTTTGTCAATTTTTAAATATTTTCATGATGTAACCCCTTATAAAATTTTCAAATTTTGTCAAAAATTAAAATTTTGTCAGATATAGCTAGATCGACTCGGCTGTTGATGCTGATCAGGAATATATATGATTTATAGGGTCGGAAATGCCTCCTTCACATCGTAACAAGCATTTAGTTACAATTATAATACTCTTCAGTATGAAAACAACGTAATTATTAAGTATTAAATTACATTCCTATTCTAAGATTAAAGTTGTGTTTATGAAGTTTTCATCCTAATGTGAATTATATTTTCTTTGTAATGAAACTCTATTAAGAATTTAATTTGAGTTAAGGTTTTAAGAAGAATTTATCAATTGGCGGAATAAATAATTATTTTGGCAATATACTTCTAACTAAAAAAATGTTGCAATAAATTATTAAATAAATACATTTGCTATAATGAAAAATGTTTCTCTTTTTTTAGGGGTAATATATGGTAAGGGGGTTTGTTTTATGCGTTTGAATAAATTTATAAAACAAAACATATATGTATAGTCAATTAGGGAATTTTAGGCATTTCAATAATTTTCAATCAATTTTCCAAATGTCAATAATTTGCATTTTAATTAGCCGAAATTCGCAACCTTTCAAATAATAGACCCCCTAAACATATGCCAAAATGTAATAAATAAAAAGTCATAATAATAAATAATAAATAAATTGTAAAGCCGAAATTGGAATGTTGAATAAATTAAAATAATTCATGGGCATAAAACGGCGGCGCTTACGCACTTGCTCATATGGACGAGTGACTTTTATTACCTAATTAATAAGAGCGATGGCATTAAATTAACAAACATTGAAGCACATTTGGCAGGTTTTCAAAAAGATACATCCAAAGGCAATGGCTAGACACTGACTTGAATGCAAATTAAAGACAGCGAGGGATTAGCAAAGCTGAGGGAAAGTTCAAACCAGAGATGAAAATGCTGCCCACTAGTTTTCCCAGTGATTAATTTGGTTTTAAAGGTGATTCATTTTTCAGGCAACTTAGTCTATGAGGGGGAAGGACACCTTTTGCCGCCCGGCACTGTTAGGTGGCCAGATATTTAGACCAATTCTCAATACCAATACAATCAGACCGCCAGCAATAACAGCAAATAGTCAAAGTAGTTTCGACAGAGAAGGAGCAGCGGAAAAAAATGGAAATTAAAAAAATATTCGGTCGCCGTCGATGAGCGACGAGATGGAGACACCGACAGCGGCGACCGCGACGGCGGCGGCGGCGGCTGCGAAAGATGGATAGATACATTTGTATCTATAGGATCTATATGCAGTTCTTATGGTACGACATTACAGAATTTTTACTGCCGCGCCCGAGCACGTCTCTAATATTCTATTTTGAGTGTAGTTTTTGTGTTTTTCTTTATTTTTGTATTTCATTTTCTTTCTGGCTTTCCACGTCCTCGCAGCTCAACGGTATTTTCTGCGTTTTCTCCTCGCTTTTCACGTTATTGTTGTACTTGTTGTTGTGGAGCGATTTTCTTGTTTTCACGAAAATAGCAAAAGAGTCCATAGAGAAAAAATCAAGGGGAAAATGGAAAGAAATGCGCTTAAAATGTCATTTAATTGTTTCACTAGCAGGCTGCGTTTTATATGGCTTTCGCTTCAAGTTTTTTTATTTTTAATTTTCGCTGGTTTTTGGTTTTTGGGCTTTTTGGTTTTTGGCTTTCTCGCGGTTGAAGTTGATTTCATTTGCCAGCCGTTTCGGCTTCACTTTTTAATTGTGCTTTAAATGCTAATTAGCTTGTGTGCTGGATGAAAAAGCGCACATATATCGGTGCGGTTTCCTTTAATGCATTTTATTTAATTATTTTTGATGACGCTCCGTGCGGATTGTGGAGTTTTTCATATTTTCATGCTGCTGTTGTATTTTTCATATGCGAGTATATTGCTCTTTGTTGTCTCGATGTTTGCGAGTGACACATATTTTTCTGGCATTTATTTTTTGGGTTATTTTATTTATATTCTTGTTTTTTTTTTAATCACGGTGGCGCCTCCGCTATCCACGAAATTACACAGAGAGCGAGCACACACAGAGGTAGGTAGCTAGATGCAGCAGCTGCAGCTGCCGAGATACAAAGATACTCAGATACACCTGACGTACCGGACGTACCGGGGGACTCGAACTCGGACTCGGAACTCGGATGGGTGATGTGGTGACCACGTTCGCGACCACGGTGCGAATTATTATTGTTACTCGACGCAAGTCGCCGCCGCTGCTGCTGCCGACGGGAAAAAGTTCGCAAAAGCAGCGAAAAGTTGCCTCTTGCTTTAGTTGCTTTTTTATACATACATATATATAAATGTATATTTTTTGTTGTTCATGGAAAATCATCGGAGATGACGATGATCAGCAACATCATGATGATGTTGACGACACCCCGTCGCTCCACCACTACCATATGTGTGTGTGTGCGTTGCAAAAGCCTCCCTACGCCCACACTCACACACACACCCGATTATAAATTAGCCTCGGCCATTGGGCTAATCACGTATTCCTTGGCTATATTCTATACTGCTTCCGTACCCTCTGCCTCTGCTAGCAAACACTTCAAGCCAAGAAGCGATAAATATTCAGCACAAAAACATTCAGCACACCACACGGAATGGTGCTGCCTGTTCGCTGCTAAACCACCTAATTAACAAGAAAACAACGATTCGATATATGTACTAGATATTTCTCCACCTATGCCAGCACCAAACACACAGATATAAGTATATTTTTATATGCATGCTTTTCTAAATATTGAACATTTATTTTTGGATTTTTGGAAAGCCATTTGAAAGCAGTTTTCAATGCCCTAACAAACGCGGGGGTTTGATGAAAAGATGAAATATTTTGTTATTAAGGGTTTCTGCAATTATTTTGTAGCATACTTTTTGAGGCACAAGCTCGGCTTGGGTTGTCTTTTTGAATGAATGTTAACATAAAGAAACATTTAGTATAAAGTGTTAATATAAGTCAAATGAAAAAATTAAACCTTAAAGTTAAAATCGCTATCAATCAAATTCTTATTTTGATCTTCTACTTTTTATTTTTAAGTAGTTTCTGTTATTTTTTATCATTTAAACTCATTTCTAGATGTGTTAATGGTTTAATATTGTATTTTCATTTTACGTTTAGTTAAGTTAATTCAAGCCTTTGATAATCCTTTTCCTTAAATTACACAAATTTTAAACATTGATATTCGTTTCTTAAAGATTTATTTTTTTTATGTTTCTTAAAGCCTCCTTCAACCCGTTTCTGGACCTTACGAAAATTTTGTTTGTACTAACTAACTCCCTTTTTTGTGTTTCTATTTAGGCTTGTATTTTTCTTATGTTAGGAAATTCTTATTTTGCAGTTGATTGAAGCGAAACCACAAAAACCAATGCAAATAGTGCACAATAAAAAATGATTTTTTAATCTAAACTTAAAATGATAGTAAAATATCAATTTAAATTGTAAGATAGATAGATAGATAGATTTTATATATATTTATTAATTTATTTTGTCTATTTTATGAAGTTTTGATTATAGTTTATATTTGATCATTAAAAGATAAAAAATTAGTCATAAAAAGATTAAGATCATAAATCTCATTTTGTCTTTTTTATTTATAGTATACTAGTCCCCTTTTTTATAATATAGTATCATTTCAGATTAGGTTTAAATGTCCAAAAATTTTCTATCAAAATTAATTAGTTTAATATATATATTTGAGATAATAATCATAAAACTTAATGGGTAATGAAATCTAAGCCAGGAAATAATAATTTTTTAGAGTGATTGGAATGAAGCGGTCGTCGTCGTCCATTGGCACACGTTTCGATATTTGTTCGGTTTTCTGTTCATTGTTCTGTGGTATATTTAGTTTTCATCTGCTTATATTTTTGGAAATTTGTTTTGCCATCAAGAGCAGAAGCAGGAGAGCGTCAACAACTTAATGCTGTTAGTTTGTATTCGGTGGGTGTGTGCGGGTGTGCGGGTGTGCGGGTGAGCGGGTGTGTGAGGTAGTTTTCCCGATAACATTTTGCAGTTTCACAAGT